TAGGGGCTCCGAACCATACATAGGTGCATTTACCAGGGTGCATTTTGGTACATCTTTTTGAACCACAGCCAGGTGCAGTTGTTCGCTCAGTTGTTTTGTCATCATGCGTTTGAGGTAGACTCTTTCGACATGCTGTTATACTGGATGCCAGGCCTTGATTACCGAGCACCAAATCGCAAGGGTTCTGTGAAAGGGAATGACCACACAGTTGACGATCGACCGATCGATCTTTGTGTTGCGCGGCAAGTCCTTGTTCCGCTAAGGGCATCCGCAAGGAGCCCGGGGGAGTTGGATTTAGACTAGACCAAGCGCGGAGTTTATTCAGCGCGCTCCCACGCAAAGGGATTTACACAGTGCGAAGGGCACAAAAGCCGCTGGGCTTTCATGTTTGGGTTGCCTCCACCAAACAATCCTCAGAACAACACAAACACAACCTATGTTTGTTTTAGTTTGCGTTGCTTAATTATCTACACACCTGTCTTTGTCAAATAGTTTGTGTTGGCCGGCCCTGGGATTTCGGGGTGAGTCTTTTTCAACAGTATCAAGCGAAGCCGCTTCTTTGAGTTTTCGATGGGCTTCCATGTGCCGAAATGAAAAAAAACTGCTTATTTTCCCCTGTCGATGTTAAATTAAAGGGAATCCATCCCTCCGGAATTCTTTTTTTTTTTTTTTTTGGGGGGGGGGGGCGCGATCCATTTGCAAATGATGGATGGCACATGGGAACTCAAGCCTAGGCGAGCCATGCCCAGTTACGTCGCCAAGGAGAGCTGTCAGCTTGACCTCAGTGTACCCAGAGCTTCAGTTTGTTTTTTTCGCGCTTCAGTTGTTTCTCCCTCTGATACATATATATATATAATGGCTCAATTACGATGTAATCCGGGAACACCAGGAAAGCAAGCTTCATCATGAACATTGTTAACCTCGTTTGTTCAAGACCGACCATCTAGCCTTTTGGTGTTTCCTTTTTGGGGCCACTTTTCGTAAAGGCCCCAAAAGGTGCTCACCTTTTTATCAAATTTCTGCGGGCAAGTGGGCACCCCCCCTGGTTGAGCCAGAATCCTGTTAACCCCTTTCTACTTACCCCGTAGGAAGTGCGCTTGTCAGCCGGGTCAGGGTGCGGTTGTCCGTGAGTTGCTTGACACGGGCATGGCATCTCCGCTTTGGGACTTAAGCTCAAATGTTCTCCGAGAGAAACATGGCCCCTTGTCACCCAACGGCTTGCTTCCCGCGGTTTTGGCTTGGAGGGGGGTTGCCTTCAAGACCGGCTACCTGAACCCCCAAACTACCCATCCCAAAAGGGGAAGTCGCCTCATACTCTTAGCGCAATCGCCCATTCTTGGTTTCCCTTTAGAACCACCTGACAGAGGTTTCCTATTGAGCGTTGTTCTGGCTCATTTCGTGGGGGGAACGACTTCCACACCAAAAAACCAATTGCATGCCTATCCATGTTGCATGCCATAGCCCTTCTCTGGACTGCAGAGAGCCAGAACCCGCCCTTTTTTTGGCAAAGGGGTTAGTAGAACCACCAGTCTCATCATCCAAATGGGGTCACCCATTCTTTTAATGGGGGTTGAACTCTAGGGATAATTGAGGTGAAAGGGCTTCCGACTTGTTTTACTACTTGGGTGTTCGGCCAAGTTAGTAAGTTGTTGGGAACCGTTCGGGTATAACCCACTTTTAATCGGGTCAACCCAGTCATTAGGGGGTTAGGATCGTGAGCCCCCGCCAAAATGGATTTCGGTTTTCCTCCTGGTGTCCCTTCAAAACCACCAGAACAGGGGTACCCACTCCACAAGACAGCCACAGAAGACCGCTGGTCGAGCAGTGGGTTCTCTGGTTCTCATACGCCACGGGGGGTCTCAAGAGCTTCCCGGGCCGGCGACCGGGTCCCTTTGTCAATGGCTCTCCCGAACGCGACATGCTTTCTTGAGCCTCAGTGATCCAAAACAGACAAGTCAGGACCATTGGAAGGTTTAGAGGGCCCCAGGTGGTACGAAGCTTCGGGTTGGAAGAGCTCTCCTTCGGATATCCGAGAAGAGCAGGATGACCACCAGGGCTTGCTCGCCGCGGAGGAGGCAAGAAAGTTGGGCGGTTTCAATCCAGGGAGATCCAAAGAAAAAGCCACCGGCTTGGGAGTCGCCTATCTGGGGTAGGCTTAGGATACATTTTACATCTTGCCAGTGACTCCAGGTGAAGCAAACAATCAAAATCTACATTCTATAACTGGGCATGTCTCTAATCATGTTATTTGGCTCATGGACTTTTTAGCTGTTTGAAACGATCATTTTAGTGTCAAACAAAACAGGTTGGTTGTTTTTTTTGGCCAGTCCACTCAGGAAGTTTGACACACCAGCATCAGAAAGGACACTCAATCGAGAGGGTTTTAGGGATGGGTTTGGACCTGAAAGGGTTTCATTGCTGAGATTTCTTAGGTCGATTTTGTTTTCGCTGCTGGGCAAATGCACCAAGACACATCCGGCGATCATTTCTACCGCAAGCTTGGCATATAACTTCCTCCTGCTGGCTCTTTTAGATTCAAGCGGTCTGCTAACCAAAGTGCATATTCAAGAAACACAACCGGCTTGGTTTGTTTGCGACAATATTTTACAAGTGGACTGTCCCCTTCAGCGCCCGTTTGCATCGTGGCTCAGGTGGGATCGGTTTTCTTGAAACCCGATGCGTGGTTCGACGTGTCAGGCTGTCAGCAGCCGCCAGTTGAGCCACCTGGCCAGTAGGGCGGAGAGGACCTGGATCGGGTTGAGCAAAAAGATGCGTGTTGCAGGCACGTCACCTTCCATTTGCGTTTCAGAGTATGCTTTTCCCTTGTTGGTTCCAAAGGGAACCTATCACTACCCAGGCCAAATGGAAGTCAAATAGGTGGCCTGTTTAGGTTAGTTTGGCAAGAAATAGTTGGGTTCCGCTGGTTTACCTGGGTTTTTGCCTCTTTTAGCAGGGAAACCCCTCTATTTGTCCAAAAGGACACAGTAACTTGCCAACACGTTGCAATAGGCACCCTGGTAGCCTGCCGCAGAGTCCGGGGCCGTGCACAATGGGCCAGTTGTTTGCGGGACAACTTCGAGCTTTCACGGGTCGGTTTGGTGGCTGCTTGGAGTCCAGAAACCTGGCCCTTCTCGTGGCAGTCTCGAGTCCATTGGAGGGAATCGGCTCATATTTGTTTGGGGAAGCAGTTGGACCATATGAACCCACGGCCATTTGGGGCCCTGATTGGTTTCCCGTAGCGCACATGTGTATATATATATATATACACATATGTGTATATATATATATGTATATATACATATGTGTATATAGGTGTTGTTTTTCACCAATAGACTAGGAGGTTACTGGAGGTTCCTGGGTTCACAAGGGATCGCATCCGGCGAATGCGCCCAAACAAATCCTCGAATGCGCGCTGAGGCGCCCGGCACAGCGTCCAGTTCGGCAAAGTCGTCCTGGGCTTGGGGCCCCGGGATGCTCAAAACCGCTCCGGGTGAGAGGTGCGGATCCCTGTGGGGACTCTTTACATGCTTTTGGGACCATTTTTGCCAGGCTTTGAGTATGACTCATGCCAAAGGCTGATTGTATGGGTCTATATATGAACCCATAGCGATTTTGGACCCCGAAGGGGCTGATGTCCCACAAGTAAGCCATAAATGACGGTGAAGTAACCCATAAACTAAGGGTTCATACCAGGCGTTTGTATATGGACATACATTCAGCCTTGACCATGGATTACAGGAGCTTGGTGGGGAGCTCGGTAAGGCGAGAAGGGGAAGGGGGAGGTTCCCTGGCTGCTAGGTTCTGCGGGATCTTGGAAGATAGCGAGTGATGGAGGTTGCAACAGAATGTTGGCCCCGGGCTACTGTAACATGTTTGTTTCTTCGAAGAGTTGAGCTAATGCTAACCCCGGATTAATACACCCCTGGTTGATTTTGATCGGGGGGTGTCCCCTTGTAGTGGGGATTCATCACTTGGCTGTGGCTCAAAAAACCGGTGCCAAAATGGGTTGCCCTGGTAAGTGGAAACATGGACTAAACCCTGCGGTTTGCCCCTCCTGTTTAATTTTGAGCCACAGCCACTTTTGGAGGGGTTTTCACCCCCATATGAATAAAAACTGGGGTTTATCTTCATCCGGGGTCGATAGATGGGACTGGTGAGCCAACAGGATCGAGAGATTTCGGTGTTGCCTTCGGCCTTTTGGCCTGTAACATGTGGCAGGGGTCCCTCTTCCCTGTTTGGCAATTTGCTAAACCTCACCTTTTTGGCCCATGAAAGGTGAGTATCCCTTGGGGGAGATGTTTTAAGGGGAAATAACTCGGGACCCCCATGTGGGTCTCTTGAAATCGGGACGCTTGAAGTCGGGATCCATGTGGGTCTCCTGATAAATGGGGACCCCCTCAAGCGTGTTCTTTGCTCCCGCGAAACAAATCCCAAATGATGTCCACCAAAGGATCGCATGTGCGGTCGCACAGCTTAGGGCTTGGGCCCAGAGCCTGGGGCTGTTGTTTGGTCACTTTTCGCGGAAATCCTCGCGCAGTTCATGTGGGAGGTTCACATCTTCGCACAGAGGACACGACTCTTCATGCAAAGCCTTTGCTGGGGTAGACTTAGGCTACATTTTGCATTTTACCAGTGACTCCATGTGAAGCAATCAATAAAATTCGACAACTGGGCCCAAGTCTAATCATGTTTGGGGTTCCTTCAGTTCCCAGCTTTCGGCAGCCAAAAGTACACTTTTCGCGGGAAGGCAAAGTTTGGTCCAGTGCAGAAGAGCTAAGTTTGGTCATTTCCGATCTAAGCCGGGCGAATTGATCTGGGGTTTGCTGAGAATGACCGAGACCGGGTGTTGGGAATGAAAAGGTTTTGGGGATTCGCTTGAAGGAAACCACAAGGGATGGTTTATAGGGGTCATTCCATTTCTCATTCCCTGCTGAGCACCAGCAAGCCGGCCTCCGTATTGTTGGGCGTCCACCGGAGGCGTCTTGCTGTTGGTGGCAGCCATGGCAGCGGTAGGCCGAATGCCGAGGGGGAGGGCGGGCATTGACATGTGTTGTCCGCTCACGTCATAACCTGGAGTCTCCTTCTGACCCTTCAAAAATGGTTGGTCATTACCCGAAAAATAATGGGGTCATGGACCCATTTTTAAAGGGTCATGGAGACTCCAGGTGCTTCTTTTTACCTGGAGTGCGTTGAACAACTACTTCTTGAGTGTTGCGGCCTGTTTTGAGAACATGATGGGTTGGCCTCGCGTTTTCTCCGCATGGTGCACATTGAAAGGACATTTACGAAGTTCGCTGAATGTGGACAACAGTTCAAACATGCCTTTGTTCCTGGGCAGAAGCTGATGTCGGGATGAGAGGGCGAGGTCGGAAGCGGGAGGCGGATGGGATGTTTGGGTGTTGGAAAGGGTTTTGGGCTGACCTGTCTCAACTTGTCTCCGAAATAGAAAGGGTTTGCTGGGATCTCGTTTGAAACTACTTTTCATTTTAGGTTCACTGAATATGGCCCAGGTCAAAGCATGATTTATTGGTCGGAGGTAAAAACTGAGGTTGTTTGAACTTCTTGGTCTTGTGGAATCTGCTGATTGCAAGTGGTTTTGGTTTTCATTCGACATCACAAGGGCTAGTTAGTTGTTGTTGTTTCTTCTTCCAACGGCTGAAAGCTCAGGGGTCTCTGCCCAGATAGGCTCGGGGGGGTTTGTGGTAGCTTTCAGGGAAGGTTTCAGAGCGTCCCAGAAAGTTCCTGGGCTGTTGGATACCGCCTGAGCTTATTGCTTGTTCTCGCGGTTGGAAAGAATGGAAAAGGAATCAACCCCTAGAACCATGTGTTTGGTCCTTAGCTGACCGCTGGCCAGCTAGGTGACCTTTCTCACCGTTTCTTTTTTGGGGAGGGGTCCCCTACTGAAACACACTAATCGATGGAATCAACCCTTAGAGTAATCCATGGCCCCTTGCAACAGATCCTACCCGCCAACTTGTTTGACTCCGCGTCCAGTCCTCGGCCGAGCGCCACACGAGGCGCCGGGAGGGACCGCCGGGAGGGACCCTGCGTGGGGTGTTTGTTTTCACGTTGTCTCGTGCCACCACTTCGAAACGTCCAAACCTCCAAACCGGTCTGAGAAATGTTTCGCCTTTTTTCCCCTACAACTTGAATCCCGAACACAAGACTTCAAGAAGGGGGAGGCTTAAACACAAATCGCCGAAGGTTCCTTTGCTTTTTGTCCCTGAATTGAGGTCTTGGAAGCAGTCTGCTTTTTTTTGGCAGATGCGGTGTGCCTAACATGAGGGCATCCTTTGGAATGATGAACACCTCTGCACATTTGCCTTCAGCACCTGGGAATTCTGACCCATTGCTCGAGCCTCCGTGCATCATTGGTTTGTGTCCTTTTTGTAAGCATCCGATCATGCGCTGGCTTGAGACCGCCGGGTGAGTCGCCGGATTGTTTCTATATTTGCGGGATGTTTGGTGTTTGTCTGCCCACACCCCTTTCGCATTGTTTGGTTGGGCGCGAGAAATCAGCACCTCACTGGGAGTTTGTCAACACTGGGTTTTCCGTTCATAGGAATCCCTTGTTTTCGGATGGCGAAGTATTCACCGAGATTGGTTGCTCCTGACGTTCCCGAAAACATGACCAAAACACAAAGGGTCGGACATGGTTTGCTGGGAGCGGAACGATGGACCTTGTTGGGTACTATATAAGGGCCGAAATAGGAAATTTTACATGTGACATGTCCTCATCATGAGCGAACGCTGTGGTACGAACCAGTGGTTTGCAACTTAATGCTGATCCCAGAGTACTAAACCCATCCTATGAATAGGGGGGTATGCCCTCAAAACGTGGTGTGAACCCGCGTTGCAAGGGAGCGTGCAATCAAAATCAACCAGGAGTGTGTCAAAAAAAATCGGGGTTCCCATTGAACTTATCCATTCCTATGCGCTGGACCCATCAGGAGTCAGATCGAGTTACCTCGAATGGAGGGGCTTGGAACCTCACGTGGTGCGTTTTTGAGGCCCCAAGATTGTAGAGCTTCCGGGACCCTGACAACAAATCTTCACAAATGCTCGGTGAAGGTCCGATTTGTTTTTTTGGCGGGTACCTGGACCCTCAAACTACCCATAAAAATGGGATATCACCCCATAATTTTGGGGGTCAAACCCATTTTTAAGGGAATTTTGAGGGTTCAGGTAGTTTTTAAGCGTCCTTTCCGCTGGACCAAACCTTTCTCGCGGGTCCCGTCGAGCCAGCTCGCTTCTTTGACCGGTCCTGTCGACCGTCTTGAGGTTGGAAGCCCTGGGCTTCGGTGTCGCGGGGTTGGTTTCGGGCACCTAGCAAAAACGGGTACCTGGACCCTCAAACTACCCTTAAAAATGGGTTTGACCCCCAAAAATTATGCGGTGATATCCAATTTTTAAGGGTAGTTTGAGGGTTCAGGTATGTTGTAAAAGCTAAAGGAAGAAAGACCGCCAAAATATCCATGCCGGTACCCGCCCCTACTATCAAACATGGAGGTGGCCCCTTGTTGACCCCTGCATGGACCCCTTGGGTCAGGACCTAAGATCCAAACCCTCAAGGGCAGGCTCAAGGGCCCTTGTGAGGTCCGATGCGTGGAGATATCTGAAGGGGAACCCCAATGGCAATTGTTGCCTGGTTTTTTCGACCAAACAGCCCGCTTTTTGGACACCCTGAAAGAAAACCCACAGAATCCACCACCCCCAACCACTGCTTTTTGGCTACCATACTTGCGATTTTGGACATGGGAAAAAGCAGGACAGGTGGGGGGTGTGCTGGGTTAGGTCAGAGCGGTTTAACCTTCTGGTTTCTCTTTACCACCTTAACACCGCCCTCCTTTTGGGAGACCCTCAACAAAGAGACAAACACGCGCCATCCTCGTAGGGCCGGGGGGGACCGCCCTCCTTTTGGGGGGATCCAACAAAAAGAACAAACAAAAGCCTCGCCCTCCTCTTCAGGCCCGGGGGGGTGAACCCTCGTAACGAGCTGCCAGGCGCCCAAGGCCGTGGGCTCCCAGATCGCCTACTCGGAGCGAGAGCTGTCGGAGGATGAGGTCAAGGCCACTCGGCGTCGAGTCGGCCGAAGGGCGACGCGAAAAAAAAAGTGGCGAAGGGGACACTGGGAATGTTCTGCACAGTTTTGGTTGAGGTGAATCAGGTGTCGAATCCCTAAGTGGGGACTCAGACCACTTTTGGGGACATGAACGGGCCTACGAATAGGAGGGGTTTACGAATGAATCCGGGGTCGACATCATGTGCTTCAAGCCTGGGAACCCCAGCAAAGAGAAGTGGCTGGTGGACCATCCCCACCTTATAAATGATATAATACATGTCTACCTGGACCCTCAAACTACCCATAAAAATGGGAGATCACCCCATAATTTTGGGGGTCAAGCCCATTTTTCAGTGGGAAGTTTGAGGGTTCAGGTAGGACTCTTGGGACCTCAAGGGCCGTTCCGAGGCCCCAGCCCCTTGAAACGGAGATCCTTGGAATCCTCCCATGGCTCCGATACCACAGGGGGCTGTGGCTGGCATTGTCAAAACGTGTGAAGGGTCATGGGGGACTACGGCATACGGCTCAAAAAAAACCAAATGAAGGAACATAAGTACACACACACACACACCTTTCTCTTGTTAAGAGAGAGAAGTGTGTGTGTGTGTGATTTTTGTTTTCACCTGTGTGGCTTGGTGCCCTATCCAGAGTGGAACTCGGGAGAGGGTGGTCTCACCTCAATCCTTGGAATCCCACTGGGCCCTTGTCCAGTGGGTATTTCATCCTTCGCTGAGTCAGTCTTAGGTTATTATCCCTCAGAAGCTGGGTGGAAGAGCATGGTAAGTCTCGAGTGGAAATGGTTTACACGGACCTGAACCCTCAAACTACCCATAATAATGGGAGATCACCCCATCATTTTGGGGGTCAAGCCCATTTTTAAGGGGAATTTTGAGGGTTCGGGTATAGATCAGGATACGGTCAATTGGTGGTTTGGCTTGGGGGTGTGGGATCTTAACCCTGTGGAGGCTAAATGGGAAGCTGCCCCTAGCCTCGGGACGTACTGTGGATGCACAAAGTCCTGCACCACTTTGACACCACGATGAAAACCACTAGTTTGTTGGTTTTCACGGACGGGGGAAAAAACCAACAAAAAAACGGGGGATCGAATCGGAAACCAGGGTTGCTGAACAGCGGGAAGCTGAATAGATGCTTCAGAAGCCCAGAGCGAAGGAAAGTCGCCCAGCGCAGGAAAACCTGATCCGGAAAGCCTTCGGCGGCCACTCGGCTGAAGTTGAGAGACACTATACCAACATCTGCAGACGCATGTGTATGTGTGCATGCATATAGATACATGTCCTCACATACAGGTACACCCGCACACATTTGTGTGTGCATCTTTATTATATATATATATATTAAGAGAGAGAGAGACTCAGGAATTGACACTCAATACATCAACAAATACGAAGGTATATTTGTACATTCACACCTGCCCATAACCATGTCATGCTAAGTCCCGACTCGACAATGTGGCCAATTCAAAAATTTGACCTCACAGAGGGGCTTGCTGTGGAATCAAGACTCTAATGATTTGATTTCTCCATTGACATACTTTGTTATTCACGGTCCAGCGAACCATTATTCCAGGAAGCAGCTTTTTGTTTAAAGAACCTACAGAGGGAAGAACAGGTGAAATCCACCAAAAGCGCAGCCAAACCGTGTTCTAGAATTATAACCAAGAATCATGTTGGCGTTGCACGAACGCGTGTTCTCCAACGCTTAGGTTTTAGGACCGGTCCGTGCTTGCACCAGAGTTTCACCACCTCCAAACGAGGATAACAATGGGAACAAGCGGCAAAATCAAACAGCAGGGCTCAACGAAACAAATGGTTGTGGCTCAAAAAAACGGTGCCCAAAATGGAACCCTGGTAAGTGGAAACATGCACCACAACCCTGTTTAATTTTGAGCCACACCCAAATCCTTTTTCAGTTGGGGACAAATGGCTATGCGTGGTTGATGGGGCTTGCGGGTATCATGCGGCGGACATGTACGTGCTGGGTGTGAAGAGCCGTGTTGCTGCCTTGTAAGAGAGCTCACCTGAAGTCTTCCAGCTTTGCATTTGGCCATGAGAAACCAGGTGTTGTCAGTGTCGCGTAGCTTAATCTGTGAGGCGTTGCGCTTTACCAGGGGTCATTGCATGGGGGTTGTCAACAGTAAGGTCATAACCCTTCCCCCCCTCACCCCTCATGTCTCTTTGTTTGACCGTTTAAGCATGATTTGATGGAATAAATTAGTGTTCCTTTGAAGTGACGTTTGGGGACAACATATAAGAAACCCTGCAGGTACTGTTGCCTCAAGTAGCCCCATTCAACCACATGGGCCGTTGAAGGCATAGAGCCTTGGTGCTAAATGTGTCAGCAACCATAGTTTGTCCATTGGCTCCCAAGGAAGCCAAACGCGGATGGGCATTGTTTCGATTTTTCCCAGACCCTCTATTTGGCACTCTGATTGCAATTTGGGTGCATCAGTTCAGAATCGATTAGGGATATTCCAAAAGGACATCTAGCAGAACCCCAACATTGTTTGGGTGTCACTTGGACGGTGGAAAGGAGCTTTTAACCGAAGCTGTGGTCAGTTCAACAGAGTTGAGATGTGGCGACAAGAGAAAACATGGCGAGGCGGTGCATCTGTTTGCTTCCCCAGAATTGGCTCCTTTTTTGTTTTTTGCTTTTTTGGGGTCCAAATTTGTTTCCAACGAACCTGGCAAACAATATATATATATATGTTTGTTGCTGGGGTCCGAATTCCAGCCAAGCAAATTCAGGCCGGCGGTTTGGATCGGTGCTTCTGGATGTTGGGATTTTTTTGTTGCCTAGCTGCTTCTTGTGGAGGGAAAAAAAAGAAAAAAGTCGTGGAGGGGAGGACCTTTTTTTTTTGGGGGGGGGGACCCCTCATGTTTTTTACCCCCTTTTTTTTGCCCCTGATTCCGGAGACCAATCTGCCAAGTCGTGGAGGGCCTTTTCCCGCTCCCTTTGGTCCGCGAGGCTCTGACTTCCTGTGGTCCGTGGCCACTTCCGCCTACCAGGCGCAAACGGTCGAAGTTCGCGAAATTCCAGCCGCCTTTCCGGGAACTTGGAGCGTGCGGCTTGCCGCCATTCGGTTCCTTGGGTTTTTGGTCTTCGCCTTTTAGTTGTTTTAGCTCAGTTGCCCAAAGCGAATCGACCTTTTAACCTTTTGGTTTTCCAAGTTTGGTCTATCTTTAGTAAAGGCCCCTAAAGGTTAACCTTTTATTTCTGGGTCCTTTGGGCGACTGAGTTAGTGATGGCTTCCATTTGCCCCACAAGTTGGACTTTTAGGGGATCGAAAAAACGGACAGCGCAGCAAATCAGCCGCTGGCCCGGATGTTTTTTTAGGGGATCGGTTAAGAACAGGGTTGTGGGATCAAGGGGTTTGTCCCCTCTTCTGTGATACAAGGGAATCTCCCCCATTCTAAGGGGGTGGGTTGGTGTTTGGGAAGCCCTTCCTGTTGTATCACAGAGGCGGGGTTGGACCAGGGCCATGTTGCCAAGCGCTAATTGAATCGTGGTTCAATAGCATCTACCTCCTTTTGGTTCCTTTCCTGGCTCCTCATTTTGGGTTAGGTTTGTCCTTCTACGATACATGTCTGAGCGCCCTGTTTGGTTTCCCCGAGGTACCCTTGTCCCGAAAAAACAAACTCGGCAACAGGGCCAAACTTGATGAGTTTGGGTCTGGAAGGTTGATGTCCGAATGGGCTGTGTGTCTAAACAATGCTCGAAGACAGAACGTAAAGTCGCGCCATCAAGCGCCGTCTTTTTTTTTGGGGGGGGGACCTTTGCACATGTGATTTCCTGTTGCTGTTCCTTCAAAACCACGAAACTCAGTCAAGGAATACACAATTCCGACGCAAGTCGATTCCCGTTCCGAATACTGGGTGGTTCTAGTATGGTTTCATGGAGGTTACTTCTGGGTGTGTCCTTTTTTTGAGGGCACTCCCGGTGTTCCTTCTGCTTTCCCTTTCACATACCCCCCAAAAAGAAGACAAGCGGTCCTTTGGTACCGACAGCCCAGTTGCAACAATGGAAGGGGGCCCAATTTGGATGATGAAACTCCTGAATAGTAAACAAAGGTGGTTTCATTAAGCCAATCATTCTTTCAATGCTGCTAACTGAACATCCGGGGGATGGCTGTGGCTTAAAACATGGAATCCCCAAATTGGCACATGGGACGACGAACATCTGCCGTTTGCCCCAGCTGCTTGATTCTGAGCCAATCTCACATTTTTTGCCTAGATGCTAAACCTACTGTAGGCTGCTTGTGTTTGTTTCACGTCCAAGCACCTGTTGATTGCCCTGCCCCCCACACCCCCCCCACAATACCCCGACCCTTTCGTCTGTACTCTTCCGACCTGGCCAGGTGGAGGGTGCTTGGAACGAAGGGGGTAGAAGCCCCTCCATTTGGGACACCTTCACTCACCAGTACCGTGCATACAAGGCGCGGGGTTTGCGCAAAAAAGTGCGACAGCGAACACCACTGGGGTAGACTTAGGATACATTTTGAGATTTTACCAGTGACTCCATGTGAAGCAAACAATAAAATATACATTCTATAATTGGGCCTGCCTCTACTCATGACGAAAGGGCGAGCGAAAGAGGGGGAAGTTTGGAAAAGGAAGCCCAATGTGCGTTACCGCGCATGATGCTGGTGAGTGGTTTGTTTGAAAAGATCGAACTTCCATGGGGTGCTCTCGCAGAGAGGGTAAAACGGTTGAACCATGCAATATACATATATATATATATATATAATTACATATATCCCCCCCCCCAAAAAAAAAACTGCTTGGTCTGTTCACTGGTACTTGCGGTGAATTTAGCCTTTCTTGGTGCTGTGCTTGGTTCCCTCACGGGATTCGAGCCCCTGTTTCGAGTTTTCCCCAGCCATTCGCAGACGCCTTCCCGCCTGGCCGCGCACCGATCGAGTTTTCCTCGGGCCTTTCGGAGCTGGGAAATCCGCAAGGACCTGGGGGTGTCTTCTTGGGTGCCCCACACAACATGCTGGCTTTCCTCTTTTTGTTGGGTTCAATCCACCACTTAAAACAATGGCGGGCAGCACCTTGCGCAAGGCAGCTTGCGCAGAGCAACTTGCAACTTTCGAGCCCGGAGCTGCAGGAGTGTACTGCGCCTACTACCTTCGTACTTAACAAATTGGGCTTGTCTGAAACCATGGGAATTTCTGGTATGAATATGTTCCTTATCACTATCACCTGTGGTCAAATTCTGGGCAGCCAGTCACCAACGCACCAAACACGGCCATTGGTGCATGCGTGGGTCCATGCAATCAGCCTTTGAACCACAGGTTGACAGTCTTCCCCCATTCAGTGGCCTAATTGAAAGTTTGGAAGGAGCAGAAAATCAACAACCGCTTGGAGGCACGTGGTGCTCCCATATTATGTTTGTTGGTCTGGGATCATAGAAAGTCCAAAAATGGAGACTCCCCTGGCTTTGAAAGGCTGACGGGGAAAAACACGAGATTTGCGCGGGGTCCCCATTTTTTTTGAAAACAGGAAGCGCCTCCGTGCCATGTCTGGGAAAGGGGCCGCCAAAAGGGTTGGCGTTTTTTTGTCCTGCGCGGCATTCCTCGAGCTCGAGGGCAGCAATGCGGATGTGGCCTGCGACCACTACCACCGCTACAAGGAGGACCTTGCCCTCATCACGGAGTATGGCTTTAAGTCCTACAGGCGCGCTTTAAGTCGCGTGTGTCGGGGGATTGTGGTTTTTTGGCCCAGGTCGGGCCCCATTTGTGGGGACAATCCTTGGAAGGCTTACCTGGAAGTGAGCCTTGTCCCAGGATTGTTTTTTGTCAAAGTCAACCAATCAAAACAAGTTCAAACTACCCTAAAAAATGGAACTCGCCTCATAATTTTAGGGCAACATGTAATTGTTTATGGGTAGTTTGACTCCAAGTGTCCCTTTGTCCCCGCCTGACTGGTGGTTCCCGCCTGTTGAAGCATGTTTTTATCTTTGGCGACAACTCGCGTGAGGTTTTTCTCGTTACAGGCGTGACTCATGGCCTAGTGTTCATTCCCAAGTGTCGAATTCTGGATTTCCTTCGAGGATGCCGCATTCTTCAATCGTGGTCGGACGCGAACCGGGCCCCACCAACTTCTGATGGGGTCCAAAGTTCAACTCGTTCCCGCCCCTCGGGCCCCAGTTCCTGAATGCCAAGGACCCAATTTAGATGACAATCTCTAGGTACAGAATGGTATCTAAGCTTGAGCTCCCTTAAACATAGCTTAGATTTGCTTAGGCTAGATTCGGAACACCTTCCCACTTGAACTTCTCGGAGAAAATCCCGGAGAAGCTTTGATTGATCTATGGACCCAATGGTTTTGATGGCGAGGAGGCCCTGTGATTTTTATGGCTTAATGAGCAAACCTTTTCAGGCGCTCCTTGACCACCCAGAGGCCAATGTTTTTTGCCACCCAGTCTTCAGAGAGAATGGCTGGGCTTCGAGGTTTCCAGGCTCCAGTTCTTCAGTGGCCACCGTTTTTTTTTTTTTTTTTTTTCGGAGGCTCGATAGAGGCGTTTTATCGACGGCTCCCTTTGTCGATGGCACATTTTTGCGCCTCTCGAAATGGGTCAAGGCCCGGTTGGGGTGCCACTAGTGCTCCCTCTTATGCTCCAACAAAAATGGCCAATGCCTTTTCCGGTCGAAACATCGATTGCCTATCCCTTTTCTCGAAAAGTCGGCTCCAGGTTTTCCCAGCTAGTCCCTTTTCCGCTGGAAAAATCGGTGGGCTCTTTTTCCAGGTTTTCCATCTCCTGGACCCGGGTGATGCCCTTGGTGAACGGGACCATGCGGGCCAACCCGGAGGGCGTGAAGTTCTACAAGACCCTTGGCTTCGGATTTTTTTGCTCACCTTCCAAAAGCCATGGTAGAAATGTTTTTTTTTGGGGGGGTTTAACACTCCAAAAACATAGAGTGACAAATGCTTTCTTTTTTTTTGCACAGTTTTTTTTTTGCTCAGCCCCTATAGCCATGGTTTGCTTCTCCATTTTGCGCAACTCAGTTGTTCAGTGGCACCAATGTTTTTCCTTTTTTTTGGGTGGCTGCCCCGCTAAAAATGGTCTTCCCCGAAAAGGGTTCCCTCCATTTGGGTGTGGCTCAAAATTAAGGAGCTAGGACAAATCGCAGGTCTTAGTCTTTGGTTCACTTTACCAACAGGCCATTTTGGTACGTTTATTTGAGCCACAGCTATTTTGCACAAGTGTTTTTTAGTTTCACACTCCAAAAAATCGAATGACCCCCCCCCTTCCTCATGACAGCCCGTTGGGCATGGGTCGCATGTGTTCTTCACCCCGGGGTTGCCCTTCAGCGGTTTGATCGGTTCCTTTTTGTGACTTGTCTTTGACACCGAGGTGCCCATTTGGTTCGGACAAAATTGTAACCGCAGCGAAAAGTTGTTCCCCGTCCAAACCACCAAACCAAATCACCAAGTTGGGCAAGGTGATGGTTCGATTCTTGGAAGTTGGAATCCCACAATTACATGGGTGTTTTTTTGCAGAAGGGTCGATCATGGGGCCTGAGTTTTGGCACAGCGTTAAAACAGCAAAAACAATGGACATTTGTTTGGGTGGACCTCAAAAGATGGTTGGTGTCTTTTGGTTTCCCTTTAAAACCAACCACAGGGCGGTTCCCCCAAACCAGGACAGACGCAATTGCCATCGCTTCGTTCCCACTCCTGAAGTTCCCAAGATAGTTGGGGAAGACCTGGAGAACGACGCATGCCTGGACCCTCAAACTACCCATAAAAATGGGATATCACCCCATAATTTTGGGGGTCAAACCCATTTTTAAGTTGGATTTTTGAGGGTTCAGGTGATGATTTTAGAACCCCTCGAACGAAGCCACCGTTGAAACCCCGGAAAAGCGAACCATGCTTATTTCCTCGAGCGATTCACTCGGAGAGAAAACAAGCGGAGCATGGGGAGTTCTGTTTGGGAGGGCCGATCGGCGATGTCAAGAGCAAGCTCGAAACGCTTGGCATGGAACATACACTCCAACAAAAAACACCATGGGTATGCGCCCCCTTGCATTGGGACGCCCGAAATGCTGGTTTTTGCCGTTTGGTTTCCCTTTTAACCTTTAACTGTCAACCAACCTGAACATGGGTACCCTCTTGGTGGGGGGCAGCCGTTTTGAGGTTGTTAAGGGAGACCAAGGCTAGCCCAAGGCTTGGGAAGGAATTATGTTTGTTTGTTTTGATGTCTCCTCCATTCGGCACCCCTTCATGAGCTAACCCTCATTCGATGGAATGATACATCAAACCCAAAAACAACATGTGACTTGGCAACAGGGTGACCCCATTCGCTTTTTACTAGGCTCTTTGCTGCGAAGTTTCCACCCTTTTGCGCAACCAAATTTCCCAATAATTAGCTGCAGTTCCATATGTGTCCCTTTTCAGGTTAGTTTTTTTTGAGAATAGATGACCCTGGTTTCCCTCTGACTGTTATCATTTACCAGCGCCATCTGTTATTCCGAATGGACGCCTACGTGCAGTTCATGTGATGGGGATCTCCGTCATTGGGAAGGCCGTTTGCCAGTAGAGAAGCGGGCCCATGCAGTTCTTTCTGTTTTCCAGATGTACAAAAGGCCGTTTTTCGCAAATTTTATCCATGCGCGATGTTGTAGGCGCACTAGATGGATCGACAACTCCAAATTTGACATACGGCGTTGACAACAGGTGGCCCAAATGAGGTTCGCTCAAAATCTTCGGGCATTTGTGGTCCCGCTAGGGACTCATTACGGACTTACCGTTGTTCCCATGTCCTTCAAGAGCATCAATGGCTACTTCACCCGAGCAAGTGCACGCCTTTTTCACATCTGCACGCAAACAACCGACATAGATGCATTTTATAAAACGCACAATACATATGTGCTGAGGTTTGTGGTTGCCATATTTTTTCCCAGACTCTCTGGAAGCGCTATAGTTGGTCGCCCGCCTTTCGTGGGAAATGGAACTACTGGAGAATACGGTGCTTCAAAGCAACAACACGGCTCTTTCCATCTTGTTGATTCTTTCATGTCCCCCCCCCCCCCCGCCCCCGCTCCGTGGTCGTTGTGTGGAGAAAGGGCTTTTGAACATCTAAGCGCGTCTTGCAACATATTAGCCCCGAGGAACGTACTCGCCGAGCTCAAGCAGAGAGGCTGCTTGGCTGCAGGGTGTGTTCACCGTTTCGAGCCCGGACATCCGGACATGGTGGGTGAAGGCCAGTGTGGAAGACAGGGCTTTCGGGCCCTCCCGACAACAACAAGATCAGAACGAGCTCTGCTTGGTTGGTCGCGAGTTGCTTGCCTGCGTGCTTGCTTGGTTGCTTGCTTGCTTGGTTGCTTGCTTGCTTGGTTGCTTTGCTTGATTGCTTGCTTGGTTGTTTGCTTGGTTGCTTGCGTGGTTGCTTGGTTGCTTGCTTGCTTCCTTGCTTCCTTGTTTCCTTGCTTGCTTCCTAGATTGCACAAACACATTGTCAACGCTCCTTAGCGGATGAGACAGAACATGCCTAAACGCAGCAGAACTGCCTTCCAGAAGCCCATTCCAACATGAAGAGTTGAAGTTTGGGGAAAAGGGGAAATGGGGAAAAGGGACAACTTCTTCGACAACTTCCCCCCCGCCATCCCCACCTCATTCTGCGCATATCCATTCGGCAAGCACGACTTTCAGAGTTGCCTGTAGCATTGGTGATCAGATCCCGCATCCCGGATCCGTTTCAAGTCCCGTTTCGCCATGGTGCTTGTCACCGTGCGGGGCCTCGGTGGTGACGTGCTGCTGGGCCCAGTGGAGGTGGATAGCGCGGAGACCGTTGAGGGCCTCACGCGCCGGCTCACGGGGTCCACAGGGCCCTGGCGCTTGCTGCAGGGGGACGACTGCCTGCGGCCGAGTTCAAAGCTCGCGGAGCTGGGTACCTCGCTGTCCCTGACGGCGGTGGTATCCCGAACCTTGACCACGGAGCTGGCAGAGCTGTGTGCCGCCACGCAAAGGAGGGGGGAGGAGCGCCAGCGCCGGAACGCGGCGTGGCTGGAGGAGCTGCCTGAGGCCACGGCTCCTCGCAAGCGCCAGAGGCGAGAGGAGGACATCCAGGAGTATGAGCGAGCCCTTGCTATTCTCGTGGAGAATATGTCGAGCATCGCCTTGGCAAGGAGCAAGGTGTACGCTAGCGAGGGCAAGTCTTCCAGTCAGTACGACTTTCAGCAGGAAGCGGTCCTCTTCGATTTGACGGCCAAGATGTTCCATGGAACCAGGGATTTGCGCCGCGACCCAGTGCTGAGGGGGTGGTACTTCACTGAGAATCCGGAACACTTGGACACGCCCCAAGACGTGAAAATGGACAACCAGAGGTTCTACCGCTGGTGCATGAAAGTTCTCCGGCCGAGGGTGATGGATCACCTGCGGCAGATGGATCTCACGGTCAAGGAGCATGTGCTGATGTGCCATGCAATCACGATCCATTGGGAAGATCCAGCTGCCTGACAGCTGCAACCCGTGCACTCTTCCACAATCACCCGATTGTTTTGGTTGCAAAGCAAGCGCAAGCAAGCAAGTTATCGGGTTTTGGCGGTTGGGTGAGGTTGGCTCACTCGCAAGATCTAGAGAATCCTTGGGCAAGGGGAGTATCTATGCGGCCTTGCAAAAAAGGCATGCGGGTCTCTAGGGAAATTGGATGCGAGTCGGCATGCTATGGCATGGCGTTTTTTTTTTTTTTTTTTTTTTTTTTTTTTTTAATTATTATTATTATTATTATTATTATTATCACTGGCAGCCTTTCCAGACCAAAGCGGCTTTCCATTAGGCCGCTAGGGTCAATGGATCTGGGCTTCGCAAGGTTAGCAGGACCTAAATAATTACATACCCTCCTGTCGAAGAACAGTTTACTCCTACAATGACCATACTCGGTATTACAGTGATTACCCCAAAACTACACAAGGGATTACTAGGTGTGCAGGATTTGGTCCACCCACAGTACTTGGGGTTGGAAAGAATTGTCAAGCGGGAATTTGGAGCAGGATTCCTCAGGGAACCATGCCCCACATTTGGGGAGTGAATGGCTAGTGTAATATTGGTGTGTGTTGTGGGAGGGTACCCCTGTTTGGGGTTGAGGTTTGTTGGGGAAACCAAAAGGAAAGAGCCGAAGTCAGATGTCATCCAGCTCGATATCCCCTACTTGACAGATCCAGGACGGCCATTTTGACGCCTCGACCCCTTTGGGAGCCCCTCGGGGTCCATGTGAAGTACATGTCAAGTTGTCAAAGGAATTTCCTTGCGAACCAATATTGAACCCAAAAACATTGAGCTCTGGATAATCATATCCACATGTTGTTGCTCCCCACATCTTGCCCATTCCAGCACTTGAGCCGTGGCGAAGCGCCTCGAGGCATCGTGGCGATGGTGACGATGTTCCACTGGGACCTGCCGGAGGCACCGCGGCTCTGCACTGCATGGTCTCATGGGGGCTGGGAAGGGGGGGGAGGGAGCCCTTATTCGGCCCTTATTCAGCGCTTAAGGCCAGTCGAGTGGTTAAAATAAGGGTACCTGTTTTTTTTTCCTATTTTAGTAGGGGAACCCTCCCCACAAAAGAGGAGAGAAGGGCACTGGGGGACCTAGCGTTGGGGAATTTCATCAGAGAGGCCGAGGATTTCGGAATGACCATGGCTGGGGGGGAGGGAGGGGGATGGAGCCAAAGCCCGGAAGAAGGAGGACCTAGAATATGTCCGAATCATCCAGGAGCAATGCAGCAGAGTTTTTTTTCAAAAGTGAGGAACCACTGGGTCTGCACGGCTCACCTCTCTACTGGAGGACCTACGTAAGTACCAACCAAACCTTCTGGTTTCAGCCATGGTTTGATTCCCTGGGCGCCCAGCTTCGTAGTTTTATTGTGTGTTGATGGTTTGTTGGTACGGCTTTTGTCTTCTTTGCTTTTTTTTTCTTTTTTTTTTTGGGGGCGGCCCCAAATGGATTCCTGGTAAATGGACTCTGTTTGTTTGTTTGTTTGTTTGTTTGTTTGTACCTTTTTTTCTCTCTTGTTTTTCTCGGGGGGGGGGGGGCAAATGGATTCCTGGTAAATGGACACGTAGACTAAAACCTGCGATCCCCTGGCTGCTAAATGTTGAGTCACACATATATGGTTTGTTTTATTGTTGAGAGTCAGTGCGCTGTTTGGGGCAGTTGTTGTAGACAGCTGTGACAATTTGGATGGCTCCGAAGAAAGAAGGAACAAGAGCACGGCGTAGGCTATGGGTTCTCCAGATGCAGACGCGAGTTTCATGAGCTCACCAAAATGGGGGGAGGTCTGGGGGGGTTATGTTAGTTGTGAAGATTCGGCACTTGGGGACCCCTCAAAACAGGAACGTGGTTTGTGAAGATCATTGCCTCAACCTCGGAAATACTATTGAGCTCCAAACTTGACTGCTGTTGGGTTGGATCTTTAGACTTTAGCTTTTTGGTTGAAATACTTTTTTTTGTTTTAACTTTTTTCTTTTCCACTAAAGCCCCAAAAGGTTAAACACTTTTTGCAGGGGGGTCCTTGCAGCAACCCAGCAAAGGAGACCCTCCGAAGGTTGAGATTTTTTGAACAATACACAGGAAAGAGTTCCCCAGTTTTGATCGGGACCTCTGCATAGGTTTGCACCTCAAAACGGCCCATTCTTGAGACAGGGAACCATGTGGAGCATTCTCATGGAGCCTCCCGTTTTTGTTCGTCATGGCCTTGAATATCCTTTTCTTTGAAGGCTCTTTGGATGAATGTGAGACCGAGGGTGTCACAACTTTGATTTCCAGATGCTCTGTTTCCAAATGATCCAAACATAGGCAACTCCAACATCTATTTTGCCTTTGGCTTCTCACCACCCCAAATACATTTGTTTACTCTTTGTTGCTTCTTTCTTTCCCATTTGAGTTCCTGTTCAGACACCTCGTGTGGTTGTGTATAAAACACGAACCCCCCCTTTAACACTGTGGTTTTCCTGAAGATTTCCCCTTAAACTGCCCCATTCCCTCCAAACACACACACACAAATGAAAGTTGAGGGCCCTCAGAATGATTGGTTTCCTTTTGGTTTCCCTTGAACACCAACCCTTTTCCCCCAAAGAAAACTAGAACCACGGGTGGCCCGAAAGCATAATGGAAAGTGACCAAAGACAAGAAAATCGAGCTGACATGCGGGGATGCCAGTGTTGTGGTTGCTCAAGAGTTGCTGTTGCGTGCGCGCGTGCGCGCGTGCGTGGGCGTGCGTGGGCGTGCGTGGGCGTGCGTGGGCGTGCGTGGGCGTGCGTGGGCGTGCGTGGGCGTGCGTGGGCGTGCATGGGCGTGCGTGGGCGTGCGTGGGCGTGCGTGGGCGTGCGTGCGTGGGCGTGCGTGCGTGGGCGTGCGTGCGTGCGTGCGTGCGTGCGTGCGTGCGTGCGTGCGTGCGTGCGTGCGTGCGTGCGTGCGTGCGTGCGTGCGTGCGTGGTGGGTGGGTGGGTGGGTGGGTGGGTGGGTGGGTGGGTGGGTGGGTGGGTGGGTGGGTGGGTGGGTGGGTGTGTGTCTGTGTGTGTCTGTGTGTGTCTGTGTGTGTCTGTGTGTGTGTCTGTGTGTCTGTGTGTGTGTCTGTGTGTCTGTGTCTGTGTCTGTGTCTGTGTCTGTGTCTGTGTCTGTGTCTGTGTCTGTGTCTGTGTCTGTGTCTGTGTCTGTGTCTGTGTCTGTGTCTGTGTCTGTGTCTGTGTCTGTGTCTGTGTCTGTGTCTGTGTCTGTGTCTGTCTGTCTGTCTGTCTGTCTGTCTGTCTGTTTGTGCGTGTGTGCGTGCGTGCGTGTGTGTGTGTGTGTGGGTGCGTGTGTGCGTGTGTGGGTGTAGGTGGGTGTGTGTGTGTGTGTGCGCCTGCGCGCGCGCGTGTGTGTGGGTGCGTGCGTGCGTGCGTGCCTGCTTGCGTGCGTGGGTGTGTGTGTGTGTGTGGGTGCGTGCGTGCGTGCGAGCGTGCGTGCGTGCCTTTTGCATGCAACACCCAGCTGCCGCATGTCTCAACTCTTGCCACGGCAGGTCAAAGCAAAAAAAGCCGACATGTGCGTGTGTGTCGCAATTGCGCACGTGCAAGCGCGTGTGCTCCCGCGGATATCTGCAAAGTTTGCCCCTCTGTGACTGATAAGCTTCGGTGCTGCGAGCTCTATACAAGCGTTGCTCTGCGCAAGTGCCCGGCCCAAGTGTTCAGCGCAAGTTGCTCTGCGGGCGCAAGTGCTCTAAGCAAGTTGCAATGCGCAAGCGCGACGCAAAAGTATGCTGCGCAAGCTCGGGACAGGTTTCTATGAGCAAGTTCTCCAAGCAAGTTCTCTGCGCGCAGCGCTGACCGCAACATGGCAACCTTTCGATTTGAGCCGGAGCTACGAATGCACCCTTTGTGAGCCACTTTCGCGCTGCTGACTTTCTAACTTAAAGGCCGCGGAGACCAAGCAGGATTCGAGCCCGGGGCAGGTCACTGCCAAGAGCAGGCGCGTAACCGCGAGACAAACTCTCAAGCCCGCGTTCCGACTTGAAAAAGAAGCATTTTACCAGAATTTCGTGCGATCCACCACGCCAATCCGCGCAGAGGGTCGCGCGGGCAAGTCAGAAATCGTTTAAAAAAAAGCCCCCAGTATTTGCACATCGACCACGCCAATCCCCGCAGAGGATCGCGCGCGCACCTCAGAAATCGTAAAAAGTCCACAGGTTTTGCACATCGACCACGCCAATCCCCGCAGAGGGTCGTGCGCGCAAGTCAGAAATCGTAAAAAGCCCGCAGTTTTGCATATCGACCACGCCAATCCTCGCAGAGGGTCGCGCGCGCAAATCAGAATCGTAAAAAGTCCACAGTTTTTGCACATCGACCACGCCAATCTCCGCAGAGGGTTCGCGCGCAAATCAGAAATCGTAAAAAGTCCACAGTTTTTGCACATCGATCACGCCAATCGACGCAGAGGGTCGCGCGCGCACCGCAGAAATCGTAAAAAGTCCGCAGTTTTTGGACATCGACCGCGCCAATCCCCGCAGCGGGTCGCGCGCGCAGATCAGAAATCGTAAAAAGTCCACACTTTTTGGACATCGACCACGCCAATCCCCGCAGAGGGTGTCATTTTCGCAGGGTGGGTTCGGTCCGACCGCGCCGCCTTAACAGACTAAGTAATGACTTTCGTGTCCAAATGTCTCGTGCAAGTTTGGCTGTGTGATATCTCGTGCAAGTTGTTCTCGTGCAAGTTGGCTCGTGTAAGTTGGCTCGTGCAAGTTGACTCATGCAAGTTGGCTCGGGCAAGTTGCCTCGTGCAAGTTGGCTCGTGCAAGTTGGCTCGTGTAAGTTGGCTGTGCAAGTTGGCTCGAGCAAGTTGGCTCGTGCAAGTTGGCTCGTGTAAGTTGGCTGTGCAAGTTGGCTCGTGCAAGTTGGCTCGTGTAAGTTTGGCTGTGTGAGGCTGGTGCAAGTTGGCTCGTGCAAGTTTAGCTGTGTGATAAGGCTGGCGATTTTACCGGAAGAGCCCTTCGCAATGCTTTCGGGAAAAACGCACACACACAGCCACGTGGCTGGGCCTTTTTGATATGCTGAACGGACCACCAAAAGGAGCACCAACATCTTGAGTCCCCTTTCAGAAAAGAACATGTTTTGTAGTTCAGTTTTTAACGGACAAGGACCACCAACCTCTTGGGGAGTTTGCTTGAAGAAAAAAACGGCGGGAGCGACCCGCAGGGCTTGGATTGGCGGAACGCGAACGTGGTGGATCACTTCCTGCGCTACGTGGACTTCCTGTGGACCACCTTCCCCGAGGCGCACTTGTCGGGGGGAATTCGACCCCCGGTGTCTCTTCAGGCGTTTGGTGCATTTTGCCAAGGGATGTTAGGACTTGAACTTTTTGCCAACTAGTGGGTTTTCCATTAAACCATTAAACCCTTAGAAGGGGAACAGAAAGCAACCAAGAGGCGGTTCCCAGCCATCCGGTTCCTTGGATTCTTTAAAACCTTAGTTGCTTTAGTGAGGTGGTTTTCATTTGCCCCACAGGGTTTGTTTTTTTACGCAGGCAAAGTTATTGGGTCGTTTTAAAGGAAGACCGCAGGAAAGTAGTAAGAACAACAAACGGTGTAAAGCAGGACCATCATGACCATCCTGTTTTAAGACACGTCCAGGTCTGTCTCCCACACATCTGCCCTGTCAACTTTTTTGGGAGGGGGGTTCGCGCTAAACTCGTGCTGGCCATTTCTGTCCCCTGGCCACCATGGCTTCGGTTTCCTTTTGATTTTGAAAATGATAACATTTTCAGAAAAAAACAACACATGGGTTTGTCTCAGATAGGGGCACCACAAAATGGGTGGCGTTCGGTAACCATTTTGGCTCAAGCTCATTCCAGCTCAAGGTTAGACTCCCGCCATTTTTGTCATGCCGCCATTGAGTTAGGTCAATCGCTTTTTGCGGTCAGCGCAAGCCTTACCCATGTACGTTCCTGTGCTCCACAGGTCAACCTACCATACCTATCATGACACTATGAGTGAAGGAGACGTGGGCAAACGAAAGACTGGGGCAGTATCTGATTCGATGCCTGCATTTACGGCGCTCTGCCCGTGACAGTATGCGTCAGGGCAACGACCACGTCTGGTCCAAGTCAGTTTCGCCATCGGTAGTATTGGCTGCTCGCAACGAAGAAGATCTTTCCAGGTTTACATGACAGACTGACCCAAGTCTTGAAGGATTCATGTGCGGATTGTTTCCTTTCGCAGAGAGCTAACGTGCTCAAAGCTGCCATGTTTACCTTTATCATGCATTGCTTGATCAACAAGATTTGAATTCGTCACATGGGTTCAGAAGTTCTGTCAACAGATGAGTCCTGGACCATTTATACCCCAGAATTTGGGAGGCGACTGGTCTGCCGTCATATTGTGAGAGTATCGTTGTTTGTTGGCAATGGCCTCTTCCTGGTGAACTATGAGTTCACAGGAGGTGAGTGGCAAGGTCGGGAAGGTCGTGTTGCGTGCGAGAGCATGTTGGAGGATTTGTGTGATGTGTGAGAGTTGGAGCGGACGACTGGATTTTGCAACAGCCGCGGGCCCTGGCCCTGGCTCAAGAGCGACAGCTGGCTCAGCCCCAGGACGATTGCGTCGTCCGGACAGGCAGCTCGTCGACTTTGGCGCTTGCCCAGCTGAGAACGGGACACACGCCAAGGCCTTGCCTAACTTTCCAGACGTACCAAAGCAGCCGCCCCTCATTCAGTATGGAGTTTTGCCAGGTGAGGATCTGAGCAATTGTAGCCGACTTTATCAAAGCTTCCGGGCTGAGTATGCGCACCGGTGAAGGGAACGCGCTTTCGTAATGACCAGCAAACGCATGAGCCCCACTAAGCGGAAGCCGTGTGGCCGGGATATAACTGCTGCGCTATTTTGGGTGATTGCAGATACGTCCTTTTTTAAATTTGCAGAAACACACCAACTTCAATCAGGACACGCATCTTGCTGAGTGCCGCTTTTCGGTGCATCGAGCCAAGTTGCCACACACTTGTCTAGTTCGGGCTTCAGACAAAGTCTTCCAGCTCTCAAGCGCAGGTGACCAACAATTGCAATCATTTCCAGCCTGCAAGGGATGCAAGGGATGGAAGGGATGCTAGAAAGCCCGGATGCTGGTGATGAGGGAAAGCTGGGGATGCTGGTGAAGTTGGCGAGGATGTAGAGGATGTTGGCGGGGATGTCGAGCGTGTTTTGGGGTCCAAAGGGCTGGCCTACAAAACGCATCACCGGTATACCCTATGGGTAGGGTTGCCTTCGCTCCTCAAGCTCCAAGACACACAGCCTGGCGAGGCGCGGAAGGTGTGCGGTGTTTGTTTCGCGTGGCCTGCTCCGTTGCGCCTCATCTTATCCCCAACGGCTCTCATGGCAGAGGGTGAGAGTCGCGACAAGAAAATTAGAGGCACGCCCGCATTTGATGGCACATTCAGCCATTGGCATGGCACGCCTTTGGGGAAAACCGTGGTAAGTTTGCCGTGCCTTGATGGAAGCAGGTTTTTTTTTTGGGAAGTGTCATGAAAAATCATCGTGTATCCCTGAAAAGCCGCGTGTTTCCAGATGTTTTGGGGTCTCCTGCTAGACGCTTCTTTTGAATTTGGTTCCAAATCATAATTTGTTTTTTTTTGTGTTGCCAGGATGGGCGCCTGTTTTCAAGTCGCTAACGGTTTCTGCAGAGCACTTTTTTCTTGTTTCTTTCCAGGTTTTCTGTGTCCTTGAGGATTTGGATTCAGACCGGAAGACTGTAACAGGGGTGGCGCCTTTGGGTGGAAAAAACTAGGACACACCTGGTTCCGGCACAACCCAAGTAACACCCCCCCAGACTTGGAAGAAACCTTGTTTTTGAGGAAGAGACCAGGACCTCCTCGTGGGGTTGCTCCCAACGGGGGTAGGTTCGTCCACAATCTCTTTCTAACGGCATGGCCGGTCACTCACATGAGCCAACACCGACGCGCACAATCAGGGTAGTAGAGAGGTTTACAGCCATACCATATGCGTGGTTGTTTCCAATCGAAATGAAAGGAACACCACTTATTTCCGGGGCTCCCAGATTTTGAGCCACACACTTCAGCTAACGCATTTACCTTGGTCAACAGATAAGTTGCCGGTGAAACGAGCCCAAGCATGATTCAGGCCTTTTTCTGGGGGATGCTTCCCTTTGCTTCCAGCTTGGGAATTGTGGCATCCACCCCAAAAAAACACCGCCGTAAAGATATATTATAGCTGTCAGCTGCAAGATACGTTTAATCCCATCAACGTAGATCCCCCAAAGAGGGGATATCCCCAAAGGAAGCTTCCTCCAACATATTTTTTTGGGGACCCTCAGAGAGGTCAATAGCTGGATCACATTCAACGAGCCCTTCACCTTCTGCTTCATGGGCTACAAGCTAGGCGCGCTTCTTTTCACATGAGCGCCAGCCAGTTTTTTTTGCGGTGGCTTGGGCGGTTCTTTGTTTCTGTGATTTGTTTGATGCGGAGTGGTCGGAAGGAAGGAGCCAACGGAAAGAAGCTGAATTGCCATGAAGGACAATGCAGACAGCCCAGTTTCAGGGGAGGCTTCTCGTAGCCAAAACTGGACAACGAAGACACCGGACACAAATGTTTGCAACCCTGCTGGAAAAATCCATCTTCATGAAATAAGGTCTGTGGTGAGACCTTCTCCCCTGGTGGTTCCCAGCAATGCGGTTCCTTACTTTTTAGTTTTTTTTGGTAATTCAAGTGGATCTGAAAACGGAGAGCCCAGATCCCCTTAGAGCGTTTGCGAGAGGTCCGCCGGACCATATTCACTGAAAGCTTCTTTGGGCCCATGGGGTGAAACACGTTTTTTTTCTTCAGAATAAGCTGGGCTTGCGCAGGTGTTAGTTACTTTTCGATTTACCCGGGTTCCATTTTGCACAAAATGTTATATGGCTGGGTTTTTGCTAGGGGAGCTTCAAAAATGGTGGAGTTCCTTTTGGTTTCCCTGGAAACCAACCCTAAAACGGGTCCACGTATGTACCTTTTGCTCAGGGAAGAGCCCACTAATCTGCAGGTTTGGGGTGCCAGAAACGGTTTCCCCGTGACTTGGCCGAGGTTGTTTCACCGCAATCCGACCGCCTAGGCGAAATGTACCAACCTGATTGTTTCGGGCAAAGGAAAGCCGAACGCCGAGCTAGGAAGTCGTTACCCACCTGGGTTACCCGCTGAGATCAGGGTTACCTCCACTGAACAGGGGATTTGTTTTGTGGGCTATCACCTATGTTACCAAGAACTTACGAACTTGGCGAATCAAACACCCAAGTAAGGGAGTTTAGTCCTGTGGCGGTTCCCAGCCGTCCAGTTAGGTTCTTAGATTTTTAGTTGGTTTAGTGGTTTAGTGGGGGTTTCCATTTAACCCACAATTGCACAAGTTCAAGTTTTGGCGGGGGATCCGAGCCCCTTTTGTCCAGCGCTTGAGACCCAACCCTTTTTCGTGTGAGGGTCCTGGCTGCTGCACCACCTTTCACTCGGGTGACATTCTGTGGGGGGTTGCGGGGTTTAACAGAGTTGGCAGAATGATGCCTGGAGCGATGCTTGAAACATTGTGTGCGCTTTCACTGCAGCGCACAACCACGGTTTCTGTGAAACGCCTGCCTTTACGTTGCATTTGTGCATGCCAGCAACCTGCCGGCAGCATGCCTAGAAAAGCGGGCCCGTGTTTCCCTTGCATGTAAAGCAAAGCAAGGGAACGCGTGAGAAGCGCCCAACGCCTGCATTTCTACTGGTACCTTCCCCATTCTTTCCAGGCATCCTTTCTAAAAACAACCACCCCAACCCTGGGGAAACCGCCAATTGTTTGAAAAGAACGATGGTTGAAACGAATGGAATTGGAGTCAACCCCTAGAGCATTGGCCATTTTACTTCTACCTGAACCCTCAAACATGCATCTTAAAAATGGGGTTGACCCCCAAACTTATGGGGTGATCTCCCATTTTTATGGGTAGTTTGAGGGTTCAGGTACCCGGTTTGGTTGGGATGGGCGGTCTAAACCCTTGCCATCTTGGAACGCAGCGCCGCCATTCTGCGCCCGTTCTTGAAAACCGCAACGCGGGCCTCGCCTGAAGACGTACGAGACAAACACAGGGGCGCCTAACGCATTTGCCCCAAATTAATTTAATACCAAGACCCCAGATGAATTTTGACCCACCAAATTAATTTAGCCTTTGCCCCAAATTAATTTGACCCGACAATGACTGCTAACAAGACCCAGTCGAGTCATTTGTTTCTGCCGGCAACTTGCCCAGGACTCCATGCGCCTGGGGTACAATCCCAGCACGAGCACCTGAAGTGCGGGCACAATGCGGCCCGGTCGAATCCGGGGATTCGGGGGGGATCGGTGCCAAGAGCGTGCGAAAAAGATCGGAGGCCTGTTTTGGAGAGCACAGGACCTGAAACTAGTCCCAAATTTACGAGGGGAAAAATGGATTTCTCTGCCCTTGGGTCCCAAGACCATATTTGGGATCTTTTGGCTCCCGCTGGAAATTAACCACAATGGCAATGGGAGCCTAGAAAGATCCCTTCCGCCTCGAGCGTGTCATATTTGTTGCCAGACCAGGCCACTGGGTTGCAACGACGTCACGAGTCTCTAATGGGGTTCGCGGCGCCAGGCGCTTTTAGCCTTTCCATGGGGCTCCCTTTTCGGTGGAGTGATATATTTCAGAAAGGGGTTCTCACTTTTGCAGTGTCCGGTCTTGGAACTGCAAGATCCTTTTGTTTTCTACCTGAACCCTCAAAATTCCCTTAAAAATGGGTTTGACCCCCAAAATTATGGGGTGATATCCCATTTTTATGGGTAGTTTGAGGGTCCAGGTAAACAAAATATCATGTGTTTGGACCACTCCACCCAGGCGGGGTTTCCCTCGAACTGAAGGAGCAATTACCCTTTGCGAGAAGATCATTTGGTGTGAGCAGAAAGGACCCAAAGCCGGATTACTTCTTGGGGGAACACTGTTGTTCTAGGGGAAGCTTCCAATTCCAATCTTTCCAGGGAACCTTCTTTCCAGGGAATCATCAAACACCGGTGGTTTTGAACAAGTTGAAACGAATGGCTGCAATCAACCACTAGTTGTAGCCCATCTAGCACGGAATGAATCGAAGGTCAGAAGTGTCAGCGATGTGGCACCCTAAGAGATACATGTGCGATGCAGGTTCAATAGCTGCGATTGCACAACTCGTAAAGTGCTGGGCTAGAATTGAACCCCTAAAGTCAAAATTATTCTTATCTGGGGCCTAAACCCCCACGAAGCCGCTTTTGTTTTTTGATTCATAGCTACAAGGCAAGCAAGTTTTGAGCAAGGCCCTTCCGGGATCCGCGCAGTGGGAAGGTTCTTGCTTCGCCCTGGCCAAATGGCCCACTTTATTGCCGCGCTGGACTGGCAGCGGCCTTCTCGTTTCCCATGTCGCGGGACTAAATTCCTGGGCCAGAGCCACGTGCTCAAAACCGATTCGGGTAGATGAAGGTTAGGGGCAGTCCCAGCCTTTGAAATGGTTGCGGATATCCGCCTTTCTATTTCTTGAAGCATGGTTCTGGGTTCACCAAATTTGTGTACCGATCGGTTTTGATTGTGACGGTGTTGAGTTCCCAGGTTCTTTTGGGGGACACATGGTGGTGGTACTGGAACGTCATGCCTGTCCAAAGCACCCCAAGCAGTTGATATCATGGGAACCAAGAAAAGGCGTCTCCCAGAAGCTCGTTTCTTTCTTTTCTGTTGTGCACCTGCAGCACTCTACCTGCTTTTTTGGGGTTATTGTCTTGGACTGGTTTTGAGCGCAATGCCTCCTCAACCTAAACCCAAATGGGGGTGATCAAAACTTCCGTTCCATGGAGTGGCCATTAGGGAAACCACCAAAAAGAACGACTTTTACCACTAAATGGGAAAAGTTAACCTTGGTCATTTTGGGGCCAGGAATATTACTCAACGCCCAAGTGTGGATCTTGGAGTGACTTGGTCCATGCCATGTCTGACAACAGCCAAAACAGAGATGCAATTCAAGGCCTTGCACATTTCTTGCGTGTGGAGGTCAGCCTTTTCAGCAGGGGACAACCACCAGCTGTTGGTTCTCCTATTTATACACATACCCAAATTCGCAAATAACCCAAGAATACAACCTAACTCAGTCTGATTTCAATCACCAATCAACCCAAGGCTTTGAATTGGGAATTTCTTGCGCGTGCTTTGGAGGGTTTTTGACCTTGGCTTGAACGGAAGCCAAGAGGGCAACCACCATTTTGGGGTCCTCAATCTTGAAACCTAAAAATACATACTAGTAACCTCATAGACAAACCAATCACCCAAACCAATCACCCGAACTCCTTGGAGTTTCTTAACCCGAGCCCTTACCAAGAGGAAGACCACAATTTCTACGTGGATCCTCCCTATTGTTGAGACAGATTTTGAGCCCTGAACCCGTGAAACAAACCCCCTTTACTCCAGCAACCCTTAGCAAAGGTTTTTCTTTGGATTGGTTTGGCTCTGGTTTCGAGTGTTTCAGCTCCAAATCGGACCTGGCCTTGGACCATGGCTTCGACCCCCTTCGGTGCATGGCGCCCTCGAGGTGCTCCGGGCCCACGCCTTCGCGATGCAGCTCTTCCGGCGCCAGTACTTCCGCGCCGGGCTGAAGCCTGGGGCCCCGGACGTTGCAGTCCCGAGGCGACGACACCCCGCAGGTTGAAGTAATTTGTTGACCCCATAATCAACCAACCAGTTTATGAGTTTCGATGACGAAGTTCTTCGACGAAACGCGTTGCCCGACGCGTCGGTACGCGTCACCCCAAAGCCGGAGGCAGGTGGTTTCCGCAAATATCCCAAAAGGGACCGACGAAACGACATTGGGAAGGTCAATGCATGGTTGATGTAGTGTTGACCAACCAACAAGGTGAGTTTCATTAGGGGGTGGGGTTTTGAGCCCCTCCAAAAGTGGTCCCCACGAATAAACTGGGGTTTACTAATTGGGGTCAACATTAAGACAATAACTCTGTGCAGTTACCTAGCGTTAGGAAAAGACTACTTTAGCAGAAAGGTGACGCAAGCTTCTTAGACACCTCCAGGAAATTCATCAGGAACTGAACCAACATTATGGTGCTTGGCGATAGAGCTTCCCTGTTTGCTGACTTGGAGGCGTGGCAAGAGTTTGTGTTTCCTTTACCTTGGTCTTGAAAGGGCTCCGACTCGGACTGGGCATTTTCCTGAAAAGGAAGATGGAAGTGCACCTAGAATATATGGTAAGATGGGTATGTGCTTTTTGAAGGTGCTCTTGAATTTTTGGTGCTTTAGGGACACCGAAGAAAAAGCAAACATTTTTGGGGGGTGCTACATTTGGCGACTCCAGCTTTGGTCAACAAACCTTGGAGGTAGGGTTGCAGCCCACGAACAGTGGACGAGGGGATTTGAGAAGAATGTCCTTAATATCCCGACCCATGCGCTGGCGCTTGCGCTTCGTCTGAGGGTGGGCATCGTGCTGAACTACGATTTTCCTTTCCCGAAAGACCCGAAGAACCCCCACGACGTGGACTCTGTGGAGGTCGACGCTCAGAAGCGCATAGGCCCGGGGCTTCCTTTTTTTTTCCTTTGGAACTCGGGTCGCTATCATTGCAGGCTTCGAGAACCATGACAAGCAGCCCGGGAGCGGCGACCAGTCCAGATGTGAATCCTCATGACCATCTATTTGCTTGATCTTTTCTTGCTTCCCTGCGATGTTTTCAATGGAAGTGGACTTCTCGAAGCATCATCGGACCCTCCGCTAGAGGATTCTGGATCTTTCATTGGAAGGGTTTGGACAATTTAGGACCTGTTCAGGTCCCAAGATTCTTTGGCTGGTAGCTGTGTCACGAGTCTTTCTTTTTCCTTTGGCAGGCCAGACAGCCAGAAGTAGCCAGCCGAGCCCCCACAAACCGTGGTATTTGGCCTTGCAGCACCTGGGGAATGCCCCCTTTAGGTATGCCATTGTTTCAGTTTCCAACTATCTGGGCCAAAACTGTAACAAGCTCAGCCATCATGAAGGCCCATTGCTGAAGAATTAGTCCTTTCCAATTTGCGAATTGCTGTTATTTGTTAGATCTATGTACATCCACACCTGACAGCCTTCGCATGATGGCGCCGAGGCCCTTCCCGAAACTTCATCAGTAGCGCTGGAAACCTGAAAGCTGGAATGGGTCCGACTTGCCAATAAATTTACACAGGTCATCCTTATGGGGCATTTACCCTTAATTTACCTGATACATAGCGGGTATTCATGGTTTGTACAGTATCATGCCTTGTTCGCTGCCGCGTGAACCAAGGATCCCACTTTGTCCGGTGATATGTTTGCCACGTTTTCAACCCAGACGTGTCTGCGGGTCTAACCTTCGGGCAGGGGGCATCCGGCACCGAGCCGTGCCTTGATTCTGCGAGGCTGGTTCGCAGATCCGCTCTACAAAGGCGATTACCCGCAGGCGATTACCCGCATTTGACGGAGAGAGAGAGACAGACAGAGCGAATGATTCTGCCTATTTATGGAATGCGAAGCTATTCTTGTGCTGTGCTTCCTACCTCTTTGTGGTAGGCTAGGAATATAGATGCCGACCTCTCCAAACGTGCTGTGCGTGGTGTTTCGTAGCTCCAGGAAGAGATTCTGACCTCTCCAATGGAGGATACATACCCACGGCTTTTGCAATTCCAGTTGAATAGTAAGATCTTTTGACGTCCAGCTTTCTCACAAGCGATTTGTTACCCTCCAGTAAGAAAGGTGAGCCACAGTCAAAACCCGGGTAGAGACAGGCTAGTAAGGGACAATCCCAACCATTGATAGGTGCGGCCGCCTTTTGAATTCTTTTCATTGGTTTGGGCGCATCATATTAAGGCCAGGTTTTGATCATGTCTCAGGTGGTTACTTTGTGAGATCCTTGAGGCTTTCTATGGCAGGATCCCCTCCCTCCATGTGGGTGGCTCGCCTTTTTTGCGGGACACCCATTTCACTTTATAGGGAAACCAACAGGGAAGCCACCAGTCCAATAAAAGAAGACAGAGCCATGTTGGCTTCTTTTCCTATTGGCGGGAAGGGGTGATTCCGGATCGTGCTGGCTGCCTCATAAGGTCCCGCGCCTTGGGACAATGGGGGCTTCTCGGTCCGAAGGTGAAGGCCAATGTGCACCCCAGATGCAGGGAATGAGTTGGAAGGACCCCTACATCGCCTACGGTTTGTTTGGGAGTCCCTAGGTTCATTCCCAGACTCTGGGTCACTCCTTCGTGAGCACCAGCGAGTAGTGTTGACCCCAGATGAATCAACCAGTAGTTGATTTTGATTGGAGTGTCCAATTGCTTTGAGTGGGAATATGGATCACTTTGATGGTGACACCCCCTAATTTATAGGACGGGTCTATTCCGCGGCCAACATTAGGCGATCCATAGAGACCTCCAGTTTGTGTTAGGACAGTTCCCTTGATTGATTTCACAGCGATTCCTTGAAGTGTTTGCTTCCCAGCAATACCTTGAGGCTTTCAGATGTTAAATGCAGACATTGTTGACAGACCCCACTAAACGAGAAGCCACAATCAACGAGTAAGTTGTTTGGAGCTAAACCAGGTGGTTCTCCAACGCAGCAAAGCCAAGCGCCGTTCAAAGGGTCCCCGGTTCGATGGCCACTGAAGACCGGTACGACTTGGGCGCTTGAGGTCGACCTTCCAATCCAAGGAGTCTCCCATTTCATCCTGGAAATGGCCCGGGGAGTCACGCTTTTCCAGCCTATGTCCGGATAAAACCTGGTTCTGTTTTGTTTGGGCACCGCAGGTCCTCAAGGATATGAACGGCGAGAACTTGCCAAGCTTCACCCTGGAGGAGAAACAATTGCTAAGAGAAGGCGACCGACCAAGGGTTTTGTGCTTGGGCGAACACCTCGTGTTTCTGAGATGTGTGTCTCTGTGTGTGTGTGTGTGTGTGTGTTTCTCCACACACATTGTTTTCAGAAATCGCTCGCTGCAAATATTCTACCCGCGTTTCCTCGGGATTTGTTGACAAGCCATATGCTAGACGTTGATAAGCCATATGCTAGAAGCTCATGCCTGGCTATTTAGACAGGGTAAAGACGTACCCATGTAAGGGTAAAGACGTACCCATGTATTTGGAGTAGGCAATTGTTCAGTGCCACCCTTTTGTTGCCTGTAAGCCCAAAACGGCTTATTTTTGCTACCGGGGTCCCTAGGCAACTGGAACATTCCAATGCGGAAATCCAAACACATCTTGGTCGATGTGTATTGCCCTAGCTTGGTACCTCAAAAGGGGCCGTTTTCAAGGTCAGCAACTCTTGAGGGTTGGATGATGCTTACCGTGGCCTGAGATTTTTCAGTCGCCATTTTATGATCACCTTCTGATGGTTCCAAGGGCTGGAATCAACCAAGCAAGGATCTGTTGGTGGCTCTGCTTGCTTGCTGGTTGGCTGCCTGCCTGTTTGTCTGCCTCGCTCGCCCGCTTGCTTGTTTGTTCGGTTGAATGGTCGGTTGGTCGATAACTTAGCTCATTTTCTTTCAGATCCTCCCTTGAGGGTTCTGGCCGGGTTTGCCCGGTGTGCTTCACAATTATTGATCATCGAGCGTTGAAGTCGCCATCAGTCAGCCCGTCCCCGGAAAGCAAACAGCCCAAGGGCGAGCAAAACACACGTCGATGTGTGGTGAGTCGTTGGCCACCCAAATGTTGCAGGGAGGGTCCAGACATGGTTCGAGAGTACGATTGGGGCCATGGAACTCGGATTTCTGGGACGGCCTTGCAAGTCTACAAAGACCAAGTATCTGGGATATTCGCATTATCTTCCCCAGAATTAGTTCCATTTTTATTTATGTTTGTTTTTGCTTTTTTGGGGTTCACTTTGTTTTCCTCTACCGGGCAAAAACAAATTTCTCATGTTTTGCTGGGGTCCGATCTTTCCAAATTAAATGTTGGACCCATGGGGGCCGAAGCCTCAGGTTCCAGAGATCAGACCTTTAAGCCGAGTTGCCCGCTTGAGTTTGTTGCTTAGGACCCTGTCTTATGCCATCTGAGAGGTGGAATCGGTCAACAAAAAGGTTGGGTCGAAAAGGTGTTCTGATTCAATGGGTCAAAGAAGCGCTGGACACCTTCTGGATGACTTACTGCCTGAGTACTTTATACTTTTTAAGAAGATCATTTTAGTGGCATTTACTTTCTACATTTTAATTAAGACCATGTTTGTGGCATTTAAACAAACAGTTCAGGAACGTTTTTGGGGTCATCCACTCGATTGAGTCGAGTCCCCGAAGCTGAGTTGGGGAATTTTTGTTTTCACGGGCGGACGGCTCCGTCCCAGTGCGCGTAGTCGTCACGGCTCAGGGTTCCCCTTTTTGAGTAGGGTAGACTTAAACCCAGTTCCTTCCCCCCAAAAGGGGAACTGAGTTTAAGTCTATCTTGTACTCAAAAAGTAGAACTGGGGTACTCAAAAAGTAGAACCCTGACTGGGCTACTCTTCCATGTGGAAAACAAAGGACCAACGGGACCGATGCTGCCGTTTCTAGGAGTCGCAAACTGGTTTGCCATGAAACCTAGCAAAAGGGGTTGCACACAATAACGCCAGGTGGTAGGCCCAACAGCCCCGGAACCTGCTGGAACCCTCCTTTTCGGCCCCCCGAAAACTTCAACCCAAACCGCACGCAGCTTACCTTGGCAGAGACCGCACAGCCTCGAGCTGGGAGTTGATCAATCTTCCCTTCGGCCCCAAAATGACCATGGGTGACTTTTTTCCATCTGGTGGTCCGTTTTGGATGATTTCCCTAAGCGTCACTCATGTAAAGGACCCTGACAGTCATCTTTTCGGTCATTTCCCTAAGCGTCACTCATCCCCCCCCCCCCCCCACACACACACACACACACACACACACACACAGCCATGCATTCCTTGAGCATCTTTTTGTGTGATTTCTCTAAGCGTCACCCATGCAAAGGACCCGTTGATCAACCCCCAGCACCCGCAGCCATGTATTCCTTGAGTTTTGCCAGCTGTGAACCCCGTCTACAGCTTCTATGGCCTCAACAGCTACGGCGGTCGATATATGCGGGGACCCCCAGCATCCAAAGCTGTTGTAATTTCTCCACTGGGACTGACTGGGAAGAATGCCTTCTGGAAATGTTCGGCTGGATCTTTGAGCTGAGTGTTTGGTTGACAAATTGCCGCACTTCGCTGTGAAAGCGCCCGCAAGCCAGTCGGAGTAAGTTGGTTGAAACAGGTGGGATTTGCCATGAAACCCACAAGAAGTCTTTGGTGCATTCTGTGAAGGGATGTTAGGACTTTAACGTTTGCCAACTCATGGGTTTTCCGAATTAAACCACTAAAAGTTATTCACTTTTAGCAGGGGAGCAGATTTTGCCACCGAGAAGTGAGAAACTTTCAGAGGATGGGTTTGAATCAGGGCCATGAGCTTCACGCAGGCGTCTTGCCAGCTTGGGACCGTCAGGAACTTGGCACCTTAGCTCACCATATCTTGAGCGGGTCCATGTTGCATGGCCTTTACATAAAGTGTGTGTCTGTTTTGAGAGTCGCATTTTTTGGGTTTCCACAAACAAATGGTTCCCCAGTAGTGCCCTTTGACCCTTTTTTTGGGGAGGGTTCCCCTACTCAAATATTTCAATTAGACTAAAGACAAAAAATCGGGTACCCTTCTTCTAACCTCTCTACCGGAAGACCTAGAAAAGAAATATAAAAGAGCAGTCCATGGCCCAATTGTAGTCGTTTTTTTCTGCGTGGAGACCAGGCAGAAGTGCGCCTGCACTGGTTCGGCTGCCTTAATGAAGTGTTGTCCTTGCCTGTTGTGTGTGTGTGTGTCTTCTGGTTGGGAGTGTTTGGACCGGTATATGTTTGTCTATACCCTGACTAAGCGCTCCCTCCATGTACATTATACAGTAGCTATGTTTTACGCATGTATCTGACTGAAGTGGCAATGGCAGCACTGAACCATGTTGTTAAAAGCAAACCTGCAACCAGCAGGAACTCGGAGTGTAAGTAGATTTGCCACAGTCTTCTCAGCCTCGAGCCAATTCACAGCTGACTCATAGCAAAAGGCTGCTCCCGAACCTCAGGTGGTGCACTCCCGAACGGCCAACGAACTCCTAGTGGCTCCCAGCCATCGGGTTCCTTGGAATTTCCTTGGCGTTTTAGAGCTTTCTAGTGTTCAGCGGTTTTCCATTTAACCCACTGAGGGTATTTCACTTCTAGGGGAGCAGAAAACACCCCCAACGGGCACGCTTTTGTTCAGAGCCCGGAAGGAAGATTTGGATTTTCGAGCCTGAAGGTGAAACCAGCAAAAGGTTGAAGGAGGTCTTACATTGTGTTGGTTTGTACTTGGTATAAAAATAAGTGTTGTTGTTTAACACCCATTTTTGTTTCTACAACCTTTTTTAAATAGCAGACCCCAATGTCTGTGAATACAAGCCCAATTTGGTGTTCCCTTATTTTAGGAATTGGAATGACCCAAAGGACTGCTTCCCCTTTGTTCACCCGTATACGACGTATATGTGGGTCTGACATGTTACTAGAGACCATCTGGTGGCCAACGTGGGGATCTATGTTCAAACATGTTTGACACGTTCAACAGCTCCAAAGCATCACCGAGGCAGTTTCTACAACCATGCACTCAGCTAACCCCTTCCGCACAGTGAACCGTGCCAACCCTCCCCAAATACGATCAATCCCCTGAAAAGTAAAAAAGATTCTTTTGGCACGTTCATTAAAAGGGCGCCAATAAGTACAGAAGTTTGCAACGCGTGCTCTTGGATGGGAGGCGCCCACTGGTACATATCCTTCTGACATGTGGCTGGCTTTGGGCAGTGGTCCCCTGGCGAGTTCCCACTTACGAGCACAAAGGGTACCCCGCGCTTGAATGGTCAGCATCAGATATGTTATAATCATGGTTATATCTGGGGTACCGGGTTGATTGGTTCCCTCAAAACTATCTGGATCAACGTTTTCGAGGTCATCCTTGCAATGGAGGTGTTTCCCTTCTCCTGTCTCCAGAGTCATATTGTATGGACATCCGAAAAGATCGGACCATCTGAACTTCTTTCTGTTGGACCATTGAGTTTTATGAGGGTTTCCAAAACACCAAAACTTTCAGCTTGCAGCACTGATCTGTGTCATTTAAGGCCCTCTGAATCGTCCTTGAGTTTTCGTGCGTTTGTTAAGTTTTCAGAACTCCTGGACCTTATGTTGTTTGAAAGAGTGGCAACACAACTGTTCCATTTTGGTTCCACTCAGGAAGTTAGTCGTTGGCAAATCGTCGTACAGATTAAAACTGACAGACCGTCCCCCCTCAAAGCTACTTCCCCAAATCCCTGAACTTGCGGCCCCATGTTTCGGCCCGAAACCATGGGGTTTCCGCGAAGCGCGCAGCAGTGACTCTCAGCTGAGACCTGTGACTTGTCTTGCAACACGCGCCAGGGAAGCCTTCCACAACGACTCCATGCTCCCCAGAGAAAGCTTCTACAAGCAGCTCCGCTGATTCAGAGCGAGTCGCGTGGAAGGTGTTTTTTTTTTTGTCTGGGATGTCTAAGGAGTTAAGGAAGCCAAAGGTTTGTGGCATGCCCTGGGCTGGAGGCTATTCCATAGCTAGGTGGGTAGCTATGGGCGTGTGTGTGTGTGTGTTTGTTTCCCCTGGATGGTTTCATTTTAGAAGCTGGCAGTGAAGTTTCGCAGAGGCAAGGTCAACCAGAAACATGTAAGCCAAAGAAGGTATAGGGAACTATGCCATGCCTTGTGTGTCAAAGAAGTAGAAGCTGGCATGAAGGGGGTCTTCATCCGCACTCTGCGGATGAAAGAGTGACCCACAAATATGTCATCATTTGGGGGGTTGACCCCCTTTTTTTGGGTTCCATGTCAATTTTGGAGGGGGGTCAGCAATCAGAAATGCTCTAATTACAGAACTTATTCTTCCATGAAGGTCTTTGTGTTTCATCGTACCCCGCAACGTATTTTATTTCAGTTCTTTATTTCTTGGCAACAAGCTGACCGCAGTGAATCTCGGCACCTGAAACCCCCAAGACAACCTCCCAAGATTTCCGTCGCACGCATCCGCGGCAGAAAATCCCCGCGACCCATCTCTGGCGGCGCAAGTTGCGACCATTTGGGTCCAGGAAGTGCGATCCTGGGGGGTGCAGAACTGCCGGGCACCGTCTAAACTTCATGGCGGGGTCAAATATGGAGGCGTTCGGTCCCTTCTCTCCCGTTTCTTTTTTGGGCTGGGAGGGTTCGGGGCCCTACTAAAATCGAATACAGAGCCTAACCTCGCAGAACTGGAGGACCTAGGATGGATGCTAGGTCAGCACCCGGATTTGCGGGAACCCAAGTATGCGCCCCCCCAATTTACGGTAAGAAGTCTTTGGTGCATGTTGCCAAGGGATGTTGAGACTTCAACTTTTTGCCAACTCATGGGTTTTCCGAATTAAACCACTAAAAGTTATTCGCTTTTAGCAGGGGAGCAGCAAGCAACCAAGTTTTGGTTTGGAGCATTGTGATAAATAGAAAGCTCCTTTGACTTTATCTGGCCAATCTACTCGATCGGAAGTGAGTCAGTCAGCTGTATTGGGCAAGAACATGCAGATGGTTTGCTATCACGCCCCGGTTCTTGGGACGTGGTTGGGAAATGCTTTGTCAAAGCCGAACAGGCCGTTGCAACCGTTGTTTTTTCCCGAGCCCTGCAAGCCATTGTTTGGGGGTTTCAAGGAAAACCAACAGGACACCACCTAGATAGCCAAGTTGCTGTTTTTGTTCAGTCGCTGTTGCTGGTTTTGGGGGTAAAGTAGATGGAAAACTCGATCGCACACTGGCGATCCAGGCACCTGTTTCCCATGTGAAGACAAGCCCACATCTTCAGGACTCAACCTGAACCCTCAAGATTCCCTTAAAAATGGGTTTGACCCCCAAAATTATGGGGTGATATCCAATTCTTATGGGTAGTTTGAGGGTCCAGGAAGTGCTATTTTAGGAAGCATGTTCCGTTGAGCTTCCACTCTGAAAACCAGCTGGTATTGGCCTGCGACCGGCAACTTTTGGGCCATGTCCCCCGACTTTTGGCCAGGTGCCCTTCCGCAAACACCGCGGAGTGTTTTCCGCAGGAACGGCAAATATAGCTTCCGAGAAGCAGAGCTCGGTGTTTCCATTTCCCCCCCACGGCCACAAGGGGCATCTGAGACCGATTTGTTGCCAGACGCATCTTGTAAGCCCCGGGCCAAGCGCGGCATGGAAGGCACCAAGGGCTGCGGTTTTGCCCTTGGTTTTGGGTGTTTCGGATTTTTGGTTGGATGGGTGTCCGATGTAAGCTGGCTTCTTTCTTGCTGGTTCCGATGGGCACCTCGAAAAAAAGAAGAAGAAAAGAAACAATCGTGGCTTCCTGGGCAATCCTGGGTTTAGCCCGGTTTTTTCGAACGGTCCCGGTCTTGTAGCGTTTCTGGCTGGTTTTCCCCCGGGCCATGGCACCCAGCCTCTCGCCCGTCGCCAAGTGGTCGAGCTTTCGAGGGACGGGCAGATGATCGGGCAGCCCTTCATCAAGGCCTGGTTCTACAAGGTGCCCGAGGAGCCGAGGGGCCGAGGGCTCGGCACCGGGCCTTCGGAGCGATCTCCCCATATCTCCGTCCCAAGGTACGGCGCATGGAGCCGGACCACAGGCGACGGTTTTGGTTGGGGGAAAATGGGGCCTGGGTTTGGAGCATTGTCTGTTTCTTGGGGGGAGTTCGCGATTTTCAGGTTCCAGGCTAATTGGTGGGAGGGGAAGTAGTTTAATGGTTTGCTCCCCAAAGGCTTCCTTGGTACCCTGGGAAAATGGTTTGCGGCGTTTTCCTAAGGGATGTTCTGAAAATCTCAGGCTCCATGTGACTGGTCAAAGTTCATTTGTCCAAATCCGCAGGCTCTAGTTTTTGCTTGCCCATTTACCAGGGCAAGCCATGTGGGGTTAGCCCAGGTTTGACCCCAGCCATGTGAATTGCCGGGAGGCTAAGTTTTGCTAAGGCTTCCTGGACCCCAGATGAAGCGGAACCCCTGGTTGATTTTGAGAGAGGGTGCCCAACTCGGACTCCTTTTCCTGGTGATTCGGACCACTTTTGCAGGGACAGAATGGGGGTTGTTTATCCCCTTCCCCCAAAGAGCCATCCTCAGAAGGTACCAAGAGATATTCAGGCCCAGTTAAATGGTGTCTGTGAGCTTCAGCTGCCGCCATTAAATCAATGGGGTTCATAGAACTCACCACTGTTGTTTGACCTGGATTGTCATCCTTCAAATTGGGCTCCTTGCTTTTTGTTTGTGGGGGGGGGGGGGGGGAAATTGAACCCCAGGCCCTGGACTGAAGCCACCATTAAATTGTTGATAGCTCATAGAACCAGCATGATTTACCGTTCAGGCTTGTCATCATCTAAATTGGGTCCTTGAAACTCTTCTTTCACGGTTTTATCCAAAGTTCGGACTCCTGGCCAGCCTCCGGGTTTGAGTTTTGTCGTCATCTCACTTCCTGAGTTCATGAACTTTAAGCTTTTTTCGGGATTTTTTTTCAAGCTACCACTTAAAGAATACCGCTTGTCGTACCCATTGAAATCGGCTGACCCATTCTGCTGTCTCCGAGCCCGTCGGGTCTTTCCGGCACCCGGGGAGCTGGAGCGAGACCTGGCGCCTGGAAGTTTTTCCAGTGCCATGTGGGTGGCGCAATCCATTTCGCACCACTTGGAAAAGATGGTTGAAACCGCACTGTTTGTGGGTATGTTCAAGGGAATCATCCTGCCAGGGACTTTTTGTCTGGTGCGAATTGGATTTGGTCCACAGTAGGTCTCATATGTGATGTGATGAAGCAGTTCTGCAAGGATGTTCTTCTTTCCTTTGCCCGACCGCAAGTTCGGGTCTTCTGAAGATTTTTGTTGACGAAGGGTCCTGTTTGCGTGGGGCTGACTTGAGGGAATCAAGTCTCTTGACGGGAGTTTTCCCTGCAACATGTTCCATGGACGGAACCCTCTTAAAAGGGGATTTGCCAAAAGTAGTTGTGTTTTTGTAGAAATTGGGTAGTTGTTGTTTTTTGGGTTCCTTCCGTTGACTAGGGGAGTATGTGTTGCTCAGAGGCAAGGTGGATCCCGATCGCATGGCTCTCAGGAGATACTTCTGCACTTGCGCTGGGTGCCTTGCCTGGATAGCCAATACCCTCGAAAAGACACACACACACATGATGCAAGGCAATCAAGCAAGCAAGCTAGGAAGCAAGCAAGCAAGCTAGGAAGCTAACAGGCAAGCTAGCATGGAAAGAAGGAAAATGACGAGAGTGTGTGTGTGTGTGTGTCTTGCTGTCTGTCTGTCTGTGTGTCTGTGTGTCTGGCTGTCTGTCTGTCTGTGTGTCTGTGTGTGTGTCTGTGTGTCTGTGTGTGTGTGTGTGTGTCTGTGTGTCTGTGTGTCTGTGTGGCTGTGTGTCTGTGTGTCTGTGTGTGTGTGTGTGTCTGTGTGTCTGTGTGTCTGTGTGTCTGTGTGTCTGTGTGTCTGTGTCTGTCTGTCTGTCTGTCTGTGTGTGTGGGTCTCTGTGTGTGTGTGTGTGCTCTGTGTGTCTGTGTCTCTGTGTGTCTGTGTGTGTGTGTCTGTGTGTCTGTGTGTGTCTGTGTCTGTGTGTGTGTGTCTGTGTGTGTCTGTGTGTGTGTGCGTGTGTCTGTGTGTGTCTGTGTGTGTCTGTGTGTCTGTGTGTCTGTGTGTCTGTGTGTCTGTGTGTGTGTCCTTTGCCCGCGACTAAAACGATGACAGGGAAACCTGAATCCTGGGTTTTGGATTTAAGATTGACCAAGATAACCTGACTGGAGAGCCCCAGAAGACCTGAGGGATGTGTTGGTAGGACGTTCACCACCTCCGTGGTGCAGTTGTTTGGATCTGTTCAATTTCATTCCCACCATTGGATTTTCTTACGCAAAGGGGCAGGGTAAGCGCCTAGTAGCCCAGCCAAGGCCACTTCCTCTTGTGCCTTTTGACGGCATCGGAGTTTTCCAGAGACTTGCCTGTCACGTTTCGGACATTTGCTTCATAGCTTGATAGCAAGTTCCTGGAAGATACCAAAAATCCGATCTTGTGGTTGCAGTGGATCCAAAGGTGGGCGATTATCTAAGCGTGAAATGGCCACCAGCCAACTCGCGAGGTGAACGACCGCTACCAGCCCGGCGAGATTATCATCACCGAGAATGGATGCTCTGACCCGGGGGACAACGAATATGCCGCAAGCCTGGAGAGCACTGAGAGTGAGAGGAGACCAGCTGCGGCTTTTTGTCAACCAACAAGAAGGTCTACTTATTTTTGCTGATTCAGAGTTGCTATCAGGTGAAGTTGGATGTATCCTAGCAAGCTATGGAATGTCTTGGGATTATCATCCAAAAAGCCCATAGTTTGTTTGAGGTTGCAGATAGAACCATGGCATATGTCTTTCCTCTTGAGCTGTCCGGCAATCTTTAAAATGCTTATTTCCATCGGTGGATCTGGCTCGGCAACATTTGGACACGCCAAATGATTATGGCAGTCTTGAGATTTCTTGGCAGGTTTGGGGGTGTTTTTCTGGCTCCAAATCTTGGAACAGGCAGATTTCACAGGTCCGGTGGGGCTTACGCTGACAACACCCGAGATTGCTCTGGTGAGAAGCGTGCCGGGATCGAATGCGGTCCGACGTTTGGCTGTCTTGGATATTTGAGGGTGTTTTTAGTTTAGTTTGGATACTTTTTGGGGGGTCTTTCTAAAGGGAGTCCGCTAAAAAGAGACCCCATTTAGAGGCAAAAAGTGGAACTGTTTTCGCAGAAGGTCCAAGTACATGAGGGCATACTTAGACCGCTTTTACTCCCCAACAGCATCAGAAGGTCCCTTGCCTGGGTTTGCAGGGAACCTCCAAGCGCTCGGGTCGATTTCTTGGAGAGGCGATTGCGCTCGGATACAAAGCGAGCGCTCGGGTTGGGGTCCCTGAGCTCTGAATTCAATGGGTATCTGGACCCTACCACCCATAAAAATGGGAGATCACCCCATAATTTTGGGGGCCAAACCCATTTTCAAGTTGGATTTTTGAGGGTTCAGGTATATGCTTATTGCGAGTCTATAGCCTTTGAGTTGTATCTGTCACTTACTGTGGACTGGAGTTACATTTTGGCTTTGGACCATTTTAGTGGCAAACAATAGGTCCAGTTTTTTTTGTGGCCAAGTTACTCAGGAAGTGAGGTCAAAGGGAAGCCAAAAGGACAACTCATTGCAATGATTCGTGTAGATGTGTTGCAAAGATCTGAGCTTTCAGCCCACCGCAATCTTTGGCCGGGGAAGAACGAATTGCACATATTGGTTACAGGCAGGCCGGAAAACCAGGCGTTTGACGCACCGACTTTCGGCCGTTGACGGAGCCTTTCACGCGTTGCACCCGAGAGTCCCTTACGTTTGGTACTTAGATTCCTGGTTGCTCGCCAGACGAAGAGAGCACTAAAGTAAGATCCGGCAGGAATTCGTCCCTGCGCATAGACTTGGTCAGAAGCTGCGAGACCTCCGCTGGTTCTTACAAACTTCTCCAAATCCATGGGCCATGATGGAGGAAAAACATTGTAATACATGCATATGTGCATATATATGTATGTGTATATGTATGTATGTGTATATGTATGTATGTATGAGCTCATATATATATATATATATATGTACATAGTTGGACCCGTGGGCTGCCACCTTTTGGGTCCCTGAGTTTCCAGACATATCTTCTGGTGGCCGGCTTGGGAAGGAACCGGGAGCCACACGACCGCCAGCCCGAGGGATATACGGTGGACGATTGGAGCAGAATATCGCCGCCTGGCAATTAGACGGGGGATCTCTTCCCTGAGTTCCCAGCCCCTTAGCTTTTTCGCCTTTGGGGGTTTAGTGGGGGGTTCAGCCACTTTGCTTTTTCGCTTTTTAGATGGTTTTTTGGCGGGGGTTCCAGGTAGCCCACTAAGCCATCCCCTTAGATTTTTCGCTTTTTAGTTGGTTTTCTGGGGGGGTTCCAAGTAGCCCACTAAAAGTTAGCTAAACCTTTGGCAGGGAATCTGAGACAGCCCAGGCACAACTGGCGGTACTAACCCAATATTGGCGGGATCGGCCAATACTGTGGATGGACAAAATCCTGCACCACCCAAGAAACCCTGGAATGGTGATTCCCCTGTAAATACCAACAAACAATGGTTCGGATTTCGTCCATCCACAGTATCAACCAAATTGACTTCTCCGCTGTCTTTGTACCCACCCAATAATTATTGGCCAGATCAGCCAATATTAACCATGTTAGCCTCTCCTCTTTTTTTTTTTGGGGGGGGGGGCTAGGGCCAAGACTGAGGTGAATCCCGTTTCACCGATGGTTCTTCCATTTGGGCCTGGCTTTGCAAGAGTTGACGGCCGTGTTTTTTTTTCCCCAGCCTCTGGTGTGTTGGCCTACCTTTGGTCAAGGTTTCCGCAGTAGCACTTTTATTTTTTAAAGCCTAGGGCAAGTGACAGAAAGCAAAAACTACAGGAATAAAAGCATAATTGTGGACAAAAAGGGCATCTTGGAACCGTTTACTGCTAGACTCTTTGCGGCAATTGAGTTGATCTATCATGGGAAGCTTGGTTGCAGGCTTGGTCAATTGTTCACTGCCACGATGCGGGCATCATGGGGGCCAAAATCCTCCGTTCGATGAGTCTTTACACACGCTTTAACTTGGGGGGGTTGTAGGGATGGTCATGGACCCCTCAAAAGGATTCACATAGGCATGTCAATGCCCAGGTGCCCGACGAAATGTGCATGAAACATGGGCCAACCGATCGCCGTATAGCAAATTCGGTTTGCAACCTCACCCATGATCTTCATATAAGGACATCAAATGTTCGGTCGGTGAAACATTATGATTCACCCAGATGACTTTCGATTAAGCATATCCACCATGGCTTGGAATGTTTGTGGCACCAATTATTTTCCATTTTTTTCGGGGTGGCCCCACTAAAAATGGTCTTCCCCGTTCCCTTTTTTTCCATCACTGAACACCTGAGTTTATGAATCTAGTGCCATCCTTCTCTTCTGAAGCTGGCGGTTTAGATCGCCGGCTTTCCCATGTATTTCTTCTGGGCCGTGGAACAGGACAAGACGAACAGATTACCTAAAAAAAGAGACCGGGTGTTGGTGGGGATGTGATTTTAACATGAACAATGCTACAACACACAGTATTCTACAGTGTGTAAAAAAAGGAAACCAACAGGGGGAACTGGTGAAATCCACAAAGCGCGTCCAAGCCGTTTTCTGGAGGAATCGGGGGAGTGCCGATTCGGCACCAGAGGTACTACAGGGACTATCTCGCCAAAGTGGCTCAGGCCAAACTGGAAGGAGTGCCAATTACAGGCGCTGCCGGCCGAAGGGCTTCCTCCTCAAAATGGGTATTTGTTTGTTTTGTTGTTCTTGAGGGCACCTTTTTTGTTGGTTCTTCTTTCCTTTTCTTTTTTTTAGGAGGGGGGTCGTGGTACCGCCCCGAATCGGGCAATTGTTTGTTTGCGGTGTTCGAGCCAAGGGCCATCACTCCAAGAAACGGCCTCCCCAACATGCTGGAACGGCATTCCAGGTGACTGTGCTCCTTGTCCTCCACATCCACTTAATTTGTGTGTGTGTGTGTGTCTTTTTTGAGGATACCGAGGAGACCCCTTTTTTGAGCTGGTTTTGTGCAGGGATTTTTTGAGGATGCCCTTTCCCATGAATTTCTGTCGGACCATACCTCGGTGTTGACATCGGATGGGTGAACTCTTAGTCTCGAGGTGGCATGTTTTGGCCAGCAAAGCTTCCTTGGCACAAGCACGCCAAACCGACCACAAGTTTCTTGGTTGGTACCTGCAGATTAAAAGTAAGACGCGGTTGGAGCACGTTTCAGGTATGTACTTATTTCCTTTTCGAGACATTGCCCATCTACGGAATCGAAGGTTAGCCTGGACGCAGTTGTTTCAATAGATAACTTGCCAAATCCCTGCAACCTTGTTAGCCAATCCTGCAAGTGGACAGAAGAGCTTGGTCGACTACCATCTTGGGCAAGGGGTAGGTCTAAGCCGAAGCCAATACCTCGATTTATGATCCAACGGGATCTTGCAAGAACCAACTAGTCCCCCGTCTGCTTGGACAGTGCCACGGACTGTTACGTTCAACAATGGCCAGGCCTACTAGCCACTTACCTTACGTACCCGATCGCCCCTTTAAGTGTTGCCAGTTGCCAGTTGCAACACTGGAGCATCAAATCCGAATCTGCAGGTTACACCGCCCGACCACTGCATTATTGAGCTATGCCATGTCCCCCAGTAGCACCCTTTTACCCTTTTGTGGGGGAGGGTTCCCCTACTGAAATAGACTACAGAAAAAAGGGTACCCTTATTCTAGCCTCTCTACTGGAGGACCTAGTATGCCATTTCCTAACCTCAGTTGTTAAAAACCGACCTTTTAACCCTTGTGGTTTTCCCTTTTTTGGTCCACTGGTACAGGTTTCAAAAGGTTAGCCTTGTATTTGTGGGTCCTTTGGGCAACTGAGCAATACTCATACTCGCAAGAAAGCTATCTCGCAAGAGGCGTTTTTTCCTTGTGGGCCCTTGAGCACATCCTTGCAACACAGAGGCGTTGTGTTTGTCACGTTGACCACAACCAAATTACGACGTACCATACCAACAGTTTAAACTTTGGGAATCAACGAACCGCGAAGTCGCGTTTGCTGTTTGTCCGCTGGTGAAATATGCCGTAGAGGTCCCTCCATTGATCAGATATGCTTTATTTGGTGTTTTGGATCGGTTTAGTGGTTCGCTTCCTCGGTTCTTGTCCGTAAATGGCAACCGGAAAGGACCACCTCCAAACCACCAAGCCAATTTGGAAGCTGACTCGTTTCTTAAATAAGCAGATTCGACCACCAAAAAACATGCACGCCGACTTAAAACAGAAAAAAGGCAATCAAAGAAAGACGTCACAATTAAGCCGACTTAAACTTCCCCGCCCCCCAAAAAACAACAACAACAAAAGCCCTCTCCCCCCCCCAAAAAAAAAACACAACAAAACCAAAAAAGAAAGATCCGCAGGTTACACCGCCTGGGCCCTGATGGACAACTTCGAGTGGGGGGATGGATACAAGCGCCGCTTCGGGCTGACCTACGTGGA